AACATGGTATACAGCGGACCTGGCGCGCGCCACAGACCACCTGACAAACTAGCAGCTCAGCCAAGCACGGCTTCTCAGGTAGACCGCGCGCGCGCGGATCCCATAAGGCGCATAGCAATAATTATGTATACCCATGCGGGGCAGCATTGTGGCGCGCAGGGCATATGCGGCGTTGCCTTATATGATTGGCAAATGGCACGGGCGTTGCCAGAAATTTAATAATACATAAAGCATACATTATAGAAGGCTATTTAGATGCCGCAGTGCGCGCAATGCATTCTAAAAAGTATATATTCATCCCGCGCGGGACTAGCATGGCATACAGCAGACCTGGCGCGCGCCACAGACAGCTTGACAAACTTAAGCAGCTCAGCCAAGCACGGCTTCTCAGGTAGACCGCGCGCGCGGGTCCCATAAGGCGTATTGTATACCCATGCGGGGCAGCATTGCGGCGCGCAGGGCATATGCGGCGTTGCCTTATGCGCTTGGCAAAGGGCACGTGCGTTGCCAGAAATTATAGCAATACATGCTTTAAGCATATATTATAGAAGGCTATTTATATGCCGCAGTGCGTGCAATGTATATAAAAAGTCTATAATTATTCCTCCCGCGCGGGACTAGCATGGCATACAGCAGACCTGGCGCGCGCCACAGACCGCTTGACAAACTTAAGCAGCTCAGCCAAGCACGGCTTCTAAGGTAGACCGCGCGCGCGGGTCCCATAAGGCGCATAGCAATATGTATACCCATGCGGGGCAGCATTGCGGCGCGCAGGGCGTATGCGGCGTTGCCTTATGCAGTTGGCAAAGGGCACGGGCGTTGCCAGTAATTATAATAATACATAAGCATACATTATAGAAGGCCAATTAGACGCCGCTGTGCGTACAGTATATTAAAGTCTATAATCATCCCGCGCGGGACTAGCATGGTGTACAGCGGAGTTGGTGCATGCCATAGACCGCTTGACAAACCTCAACAGCGCAGCCAAGCATGGCATGTCGCGCAGCCTGCACGCGCGGGTCCCATAAGGCTCATGGCAATGCGACTGTATACCCAAGCGGGGCAGAATTGCGACGCACAGAGCCTATGCGGCATCCCATGTCGGTCAAGCAAACCAAGGAGCATATGGTCAAGGCATAGCATTAGCTCTCCTAAGGGAGATCCCCACTACTATTTTTGGAGGTTGCTTGGCCTAGAGTAAGGGCATGTCCGAGCAGGATGAGAGGTCAAGAAAAGGCAGGACACACGTACAACATCCACTTTTTCGCAGATGCGTTTGGTCTGCACAGGCGATGTTGGGAAGCCCGAGTTGTCTCGTGATGCCAACACCCTGGTAGCATTGTCGGTCGCGCCCAGCACACGTAAGACATACCAGCCAGGCATTAAAGCATACTTGAAATCCGCGTCAGCGGTCGGCTTCAACCCGGCTCAGCCGAACAACGAAGAGATTGTGCGCTTTGTTACCTCACTTTCAGAGTTAGTGCCTGCAGGCAACACTTTTAAAGGTATACTTGGCTGCGATAAGGTTTCACCTGCTATCGCAAGGCATGTCCGTAGAGGGACTGCGCTCACAACGAGGCGCCTCCTTGCCGTATTGAAAGGCATCGAGCGAACGCAATTTGACACACGGAGGTCGGAGGCAGGTAACCATGCGGGCCAGCAGCGCCTACCAGTTGCACCGTCAGATCTGCTCACCATAAAAGCGCAAGTGGGTACGTCCGCCCACTCGGCAAGCGATAAAGCAATGATATGGGCAGTACTGTTGACGGCATTTTACGGGCTGCTGTGCGTAGGCGTATATGCCTCAACGTCAACGGACGAAGGACGCAATTTCAACACCCTGACCGTGGCTTAGGTCCAGATAGCGCAGACAAAGGTGGTAATCAAGCTTGGTCCCACCAACACCTCGCAGTTCGGCGGAGGCGGCACAGCGTTGCTTTAAGCGGCAGCCAACAAAGAGCTGTGTCCCGTAGAGGCCGTCATGGCATACAGATCCAGGCGACGGTGGCCAAACGCCGGGGCACCCTTATTTGTCCACGGCAATGGCAAGCAGCTCACACAGAAGGACATCAACCTACTGCCGAGAGCTTTGCGCCCCGAGGTCGGTAGCCACTCCCTGCGCAAGGGCGGTGCCACCGAGTTGGCAGCACAACGGGCACCAGAGCGGCAGCGGCAGGCAGCCGGACGTTGGCGCAGCTCAGCGTACAAGCGGTACATCCACACATCTGCAGGCTTGCCCTCCCACTAGCTGGGTGGCATGGAAACACGGCACCCAGGACCGATGCAAAAACCTATTTTTGGAGGAGCAGCAGGCAACCCTCGTTTCACTCGTGATTGCTTAATCACATGGCAAAAACAACAAAAATGCAACCCCATTCTATGGTGCTATGATGTGTGTGTCTCGGGGGGAGGGGCGATAAATGTAGGTTTGCAGCGTACGGCAAACCGTAGTTATCGCTGACAACCGAGCAACAGGCAAAAGCCACGCGCGTGGCTAGGCGCGCAACAATGGGGGTGTCTGGCATGCAATGGCGGGCAGCCGTACTGGGGAAAGCCCAGGCCGCAGTACGAGTACGCCCATATGCGCGGGCGAGACTACCCCATATTTGCATAAAGGTATCAGCGCTACTAATGCAATGTTTACTACAAGCAGGGCTAGCTCATGGCGCCTAATCTCTATATTAGGAAGCAGTTCCTTTCATGGCACGAAAGGACTCCAGCGCGCGTACTAAGCCTCAGCCAAGGTACAGTACTAACCGAGTACGCAAGATAGAACAGGCGGTGTGGCGGAGCAAACATACCACGTATGGAAGAGGCGAAGTCCCCGGATGCCGCCCGGCCCACAATGACAGACACCACCATGCTTATATGGGAAATAAGGCGCGAGAGCCCACCAGGTAAGGCGGGCCACATAAGCACGTGGCAAGCGCAAATAGCGTAAGACGTACCCACGAGGCCACAACGCGAGAGTACGGCAGCATGAGCAGAGTACAAGAGTACGAGGCCGGATCAACGCAGACCAAGCCCAAGGTGTGGTAGTGCCACAGCACGAGGCACCTCAGCAGTTGGAGGTGGCGAACGCAGGGACAGCATCAATATTGGCAGCTAGCAGCAGCAGCAGATGGGCGTGATTTTTTTTTCTTCAAGACTAGCAACGAGGAGCAGCAGGCAACCCTCGTTTCACTCGTGATTGCTTAATCACATGGCAAAAACAACAAAAATGCAACCCCATTCTATGGTGCTATGATGTGTGTGTCTCGGGGGAGGGGCGATAATCAAGGGTTGTGGACATGGTGGCTGAAACGGAAAACATCCAAACGGGAACAGCATATTCAAGGAGGGGACGAACATAACATTTATACAAAAGATTCACAGCAGGAAAAGGAAGGAAGTTGGACATGTGGTTTAAAAGAAAAACCCGACCTCGAAATTTGCTGGTAATGTGTTGAATATGGGGGCCAGATTGAGTGAAGGAGTGAGGGTGATGCCCAGATGGCGGTGGGAAGAGGGCTGGGTCAGTAACGTACCGGCCATGGTGACGGTCCTGGGATTAGGTGGGTTTGATTTAGGTCTGCGAAAGGGAACATGGACACATTTGGTAGCATTGAAAACTGCTTCAGCTTTATGAGACCAGTTCACACATCTATCAAGGTCTAGTTGCAGGGAGGCAGTGTGCGCGGCGGGTACGACAGTAGGCGGAGAAACGCAGACCATGTTGGAATCATCCGCAAACAGAGTCAGATCGCTGGATTGGGGAATGCTGGGAAGGGAGTTGATAGAAAGGTTGAATAATAGAGGGCCTAGGTGGGAGCCTTGTGGCACACCAGCGGTGAGCGACATATGGGTTGATAAGGAGGTTCCGACCCGCACAGACATCGATCGGCCTTCCAGGAAGTCCATCAGCCACGCGAATGAGTCAGGTGCACACCAACCGGACAGACATGAGGCTAGGAGGCGATGGCTGGTACGATCAAATGCCTTCGAGAAATCGAGAAAGACGGCATCACACTGGGCCCGGTTATCAAATGCAGAGCTGACACTTGATGTGATATACGACACTTGACCGACTCACTACTACCATCCAGAGCACACAAGAAGTCCATCGAACCTTCTACTCGGCAAACCTGCAAGAAAGCACCACTCCCTGGTCAATACACCTTGTTTTGGGCAGTTCACCCCTCATTAATTGGGCTTGAGTAGGCTGAGGAAGATTGTGTCTAAAGAGCACCACTTATATTGCTTTCCAAGCCAAACCATCACCAGGGATACAATCTTACAGGGACGCTCCGTTTCAAGCGAGAAAAACGCCCTTTGAGCAAGAGATAGCAGCGTGAGTAAGTGTCATTTCTGCACAGTGAGAACAGGAAGTGCAGAAAGTCGGCATACCGGATAGGTAGTGAGAAAGTCGGCGGAAAAGCGCGAGCTCCGGTGTGAGGAGCAAAGAGGTTTCCTATGAAACCATCGCCAAAGTTGCTACCACTATCTCGTATAATAGCTTTGATTAAATTATTGTGTAACACTCATACTCGCAAGACTCTCTCAAAGCACATGGTTACGGGTTGTAAGTTGTTGCTCCTTGTCTCACGTGGAGGAGGAGAAGACAAAGGCAGTGCAAGTATGCGGCGCATAGCTTACCGTGAATACCTATGGTGTACTATTTATGTCAGTATACTCAATAAGTATACTCAATACGTGTGATAAAGTACTCATACTACAATTCCTTTCAGATTCCTTTTTTCATATTCCTTTCCTGTCTCCTTTCAGATTGTTAGATATATTTATGCAAGGAATATTCGAATTATTCGAATATTCTAGAATACCAACATCAGAAAGAATATTCGAATGCAGGCAGCATTACTTGATATTGGAAAATTCGAAAAATTGGCACTTCTTGGTTGTGTTAATATTTAGAATATTCGTTCGAAGAAAACACCATTTGTTGCATCACTAATATATTTCGACTTATGTTGGCTCCTACTTTGTTGCTTTGTTTGGTATAGGAAAGGCAAGTCCTGGTTTCAGTCTGGTGACGAATCCTACTCTGCGCAAACATGGACTGCAAGCGATGACGTGTATCATGCTCTAGCTCATCCTTACGCCGACTCTCTAACTAAACCCGGCGTGTCCGATTCCGATAATAGCTTGGAGTCAACATGTTCTGGTCCTGTTTCTCTAAGGGCAGAGCAGCTGCAGCAGCAACAACAGAGCTCTGTAAGTCAATACTACTACCAGATCAACAACTCATATGTATCCATGCACCCCCCCCCCCCGACATACGTTATTGAGAGAGATAACCACTTTATGTAACATAGTAATCAGCAGGACATCTTTTCTTACCAGCGGCTACTGATTACCACGAATTATATTGAAGCGAGCTAGCTGCATGTACCATTGAGGGATAGGGAAACACGAGTATATTGCCACATACATGTATAGGAGGTTGAGGTGTGATCTTCTGCTGATGAAAGGCTATTCGGATAAGCCATGCAATGCCGGTATCAGGCTTTCTACTTTAACCTTACTAATCCTTTCAAAAGGAATGGCAACTTTGATGAGTATCCCAAACAACGATTGTCCTCACTGTACCCACGTGCAACTGTTAGTGTATTGTGATGGTCTGGATTTGGAAAGGAAAGTTCTTGTGGTACTGAAAGTTCATGTTTACTTTCTTCCCTGAACCACCGTTTCACACCAAATAGAAAATTGACTGCACCATTGATTGGCGCACTGGAAGAGACTATATAATATAGACTTGCCATATTTCGTTGAACACCATTGAAACTCACTTCTCTTTCTACTCTTTCTTCTCACCCGAATACACTCGCACCCTCACAGCCACAGCCTCGCATACAGTGACATACACATGCACACGCACGCGCGCACGCACACACACACACCACACACCACACACACACACACACACACACACACACACACACACACACACACACACACACACACACACAGTGATGCCACAGCCACGCCACACTGGTCACAGGCACCGCATAACCATCTGCACACACAACAACCATCAGCCTCCTCTGCAGGGACAGCAGCCGAAAAAGCTGTAATGCCAGTGTATTCTCTATTCGCAAAGAACAACACCCACATCACAGCATTAACTTTCTCTCTGCTCGGCTTAGATGGCCAAGACTAAATAGATGTACGCTGTAGTTAGTATCAATGCTAAGACTGCAGTCTCCAGCTGCAGCATACTGCCAGCAATTTGCTCGCAAGGCAGAGCTTGCCAGTCTAGAAAGGACCGACCAGATAAAGACTACGAGAGAGCTTGGAAGCTCAGGGCCCTACGCTATGCTTTTTTTGCCTTGACCTAGACAAAAAAAAAGCATAGGGATGTTATAAATTCTTTAAAAAATTCCTTTTTTTTTAAGACATAACCTGGGATTCGAACCCGCACTATCGCGCGCCCTGCATGCATCCCCCGATACACTTCGCATACATACTAATTCTTCCAAGTTGTTTCACATTGTGATCTTGCATTTGAAAGCCCTATTTGAATATGCATTGTGGCCAGCCGTCTTTGATGGTACGGTACGGTAGGGGATAGGTACGGGACAGGTACGATCGAGGGTAATACGACACCGTCTCCAGTACCGTACCGTACCATCAAACACAGCTGGCCACATACAGCTGCCCGCAATATTCAAATAGGGCTTTCAAACGCAAGATAATAACGTGAAGCAACTTGGAAGAATGGGTATGAATGCGAAGTGTATGGGGGAATGCATGCAGGGCGATAGTGCGGGTTCGAATCCCAGGATCTGCCTGAAAAAAAAAAATAGGAGAATTGAAAAATTTATAACATCCTATGCTTTTTTGCCGTCAGATACGGATAGCGCCAGGCGTGACACAAACAAACACACAAACAAACACCAAATTAAAGCTGTGTGGACCCTGGCTAGCGCCAGACGTTACTGAAGTAACGTCTTCTGCATAGCTACAGGAATAATTTATTATTAATTAGGGCGGGTGCCGGGTGCCGCGTGAGCAGGGTCACACATCACTTGCAAAGAAAGAATTGAAAAAGAACGGTACAGCAAGTGTGCATACCTCAACTTTTGCGAGCTGCAAATATTACGGCATGACATAAGACGGAAAAGAACATTAATTTTCTCGTTTCTCTCTCAAGTTAGTCAATGAGAAATGAACAAAATATGGCCAGATTTCACAACAACAGTATATTATTATACTATTGTAGCAAAAACTGTCCATATCGTCATATTCTGATGTTGCAAAAACTGTCCATATCGTCATATTCTGATGTTGCAAAAACTGTCCATATCGTCATATTCTGATGTTGCAAAAACTGTCCATATCGTCATATTCTGATGTTGCAAAAACTGTCCATATCGTCATATTCTGATGTTGCAAAAACTGTCCATATCGTCATATTCTGATGTTGCAAAAACTGTCCATATCGTCATATTCTGATGTTGCAAAAACTGTCCATATCGTCATATTCTGATGTTGCAAAAACTGTCCATATCGTCATATTCTGATGTTGCAAAAACTGTCCAGATTGTCATATTCTGGTTTTTCAAAGCCTGTCCAGCCTGATTGACATATTCGAGTGTTGCAAAGCCTGTCCAGATTGACAAGTTTCCGTCCAGGATTCTGTCGACATGCTCCGAGGCCGGAAGTCAGCGGGGGAATTAATGTGCAACATGTGGTATGGTTTGATGTGACTTTGTGATCATGTCTCAGAGCATTTCCGTGGAACTTCAGAAGGAGCTGCAGAGCGTTTGGAAGGAGCTGTACCTCCCAGAGAGTACAATAATGGAACTTAGTTTCAAGTATGGCGGAGAGCATCTGCCATTACAGATTCTGAGCAAGGTATGTACGGTACTCAATGCTGCAGGGAGCAGCTACCGTTTTCCGGTGTATTTGTATTTTGTGTTTATGGATTCTCCACAGGCCTTGGCTTAAATCAAGGGAGTCTCCGTATAAGCCGCACTGGAGTATAAGCCGCACCCAGATTTTTTTGTCACAAAATCAGATATCTATCCTGTGTTAGGTGTATACGCCGCGTCCCTCACTTGAGGGACCTACTGTGCAAACGGCCGCTGACAGCTTCGGTTCTCCTGTTTGCCAACAACAAATTGCTAGTAACCGGCATGGATTTATCAATACTGAACATATGGAGAGAAGCTCGATGGCCTAATTCCTCGACATCTTCAATGACTCTCAGCTTAAATCAAGTCTGATAGCTGCTACAAGTATGTTCAACGGTACCGTGATTCAGCTCTGAACGTTAGATGAAAAGGGAACGAACTTGAGCGAGAGCCAGAGACAGTGACTTGTATCAAAATTTCTTGCACTGATCCAATGTGCGTTGTCCATGCGCATGCACCCAGTTGCATTGTCACGGCTGTCACAGCGCGCTGTTGCATTTTTTCGCCAGTTACGTGACCTACCACACGCTGCTTTGCGCACGTTCTAGGGTGAATTATGCGTGTTGAATGTGCGGTTGTACTCAGGAAAAGATAGTAATCTGTTTGAGCTGTTAGAGTTAGGGAGCTAACTGTATTCAAACAATATTTGAGGACTATGATATTTGTGCCTGAGAGAGAGAGAGCAGTACCGGTATCTAACTTTCAGGTGATGCAAATGTTACTGAATTACATCATGGCATGCGGTAACTGACTTTTCTCCAGAGCGTTTTTAAAATACATAAGCAGTAGAGGTGAAACATCAAGTCATCGGATGTTGTTCACGGTTTTCAAGTGATTATGGTCCTTGCAACAAAGGCCAGTTTGTCCCCTAGCCTGTGGCGGCAAAATGAGTCAGTGCTTGACCTGTTAATTGCCACTGGAAGGCCGGGCTTGCAAAAGGTGATTGGGCTCGAGTTTCTTTTGTCAGATAGGTGTTTGTGTCTCATCACCCCCCCCCCCCCCCCCGGCTTGATCTTCATCCCAGACTAGTACTAGTATTCGTGTGCTATGTTTGAGTATTGCCGGCACTTTGGGTAATGCACCCTGCTTTCTCCTCATCAACATGTTGATTGTGGAAGAGTTTTCACTGCTCCATAGGCTGGATTTTCTATTTCGCAGTACGTACCGGGCAAACGAATTGATGAATTTCTAAATTCTGGTATTTTGCAGTCTGTTTTAATATTTTGCAGACTCTATCTGGTAACGACTATTCCACGCTGTGTCTGCAGGCCTCATCTTGTGTAGTTGCTGCTTCTGTTCCAATCAGCCGCGGACCGTTTGCGAATTGCAGACACAACTTCAGGGTTGTTTAAATTGTTTTGATTGTGTGCGTTTCTGTTGTTCCACAGGCACTTTGTGCATGGAAGAATGTGCTCTCTCTTGTAAATGAACGTGAAGTTATGATAGCAAGCTGGGAGGTTCATCCTTCCTTCCTCCCAGGTCAGTACCAATGTGTCTTTGACTGTACCATGTAAAGTTGCATATCAACAGTCAAACTGTCACCTGTGATTTATTCTATTTATTTCACCTTCCCTCCTTCCCTTGGCCAGGGAATATAGGCCAATATGGAGGGAGAGAGGGGGGGGGGGGGCAATAGCCAGCCATGGCAGTAAGTAAAAATAATGCAAAAATTTGATGACAAATTACAAGAGGCAAAAACCTACACAGGATGAGGCAAAGAAAAACAAATCTGAACATGAGCTACCTTGGGCAGTCCCTTAAAACAAAACAAAAGTCGTAGAGGTGACGGTTCGATACCGGAACGGGTTGACAACAAAATTGTGTAGACCCAATCCGATCATCAGTGTGGATTGTTCACTCGAAATATGTTTGTGGAAGGAAGCTGGCATGTTGAAGTTTGCTCTGAGGCCAGAGTCGATCGATCTGAGCCCCTCCTTTGTGTTCGCCCGTTGCCTCCAAGTTGCCCTCAATTTTTGGTGTTTACAGAGGTGGCTCCAAACCGGACAGGTTTTAGAGTGCTCGTCAAATTCACTCTGGGTCTGAAATTAGGTAATTGCTATGGCTCCACGACGGCCAGTACAGAGCACCAATTAGCCTTGTGTGTGCTTCCATTAGTTTTCATTGGTATACAGTTCTTTATTGGCGAGAGGCGAGCCGCTGTTTACCTGCGACAAGAAGTTGATTTTTCAAAAGACATAAAACTCAAGTCGCAGTGGGAAGCAACACGTCGAAAACTCAAATGCTTGGTATGGCGCTTCTGGTCATCGCAGAGCCATGGAATTTTGGCGCTGAGTAAAACACATTGTAGTCTCACTGTGACATACGTTTTCTAATCAAAATACCAAGAGAGAAAGTGAATATTTAGACCGTTCCGGTTTGCAACCTATGTCCTATTTGAAACCGTCTCTTCTACGAGTTATAACTCCTTTTAGCCATAATTAAATTGGCTCACCATCCGAGTTCGATAATAATAATTATAATAAACCAAAAGGAACTACGCTTAATGTTAAAACTTTCTCTTTCCATTTATTGATGTATTCATGTAATGAATTGAGTTTAGCGTAGGCGTACATCTCGCAACTACGTATCTGCTGTGCAACAGCGCCCTCTACTGTTCTGGCCGCCTCACTTGTTTAGTGCGCCTTGCCGCGACCGGCAAGACTGCCTGCTCTACATCACATTTATGCGTACGCCATCACACTAATTAATTCAGTTTTGATCGGGTTCGAGTCAGCAACGTGCCACATCTCCTTGCCATTCTCAGTTTTGAGTCTTCTCTGCTTTGGCTCATGCCCGACTTGCATCCTGCTGCCTTTGTCTTTTGCTGACCCACCATCCCACCACTAACCATTAATACCACATTGCATCATTCCTACTTCAAGTACAATAAACCTGGTGGCGAGTCACTCATTACTGGTCTGCCTTTCCATTGCGGCATTATGGCCTTATGGTCCTGCCTTTCCATTGCAGCAATCACAGCCTCCGGGCTTCTGCCTTCCTGCGGCAATCACAGCCTCATGGGCTCGTGCCTACCTTGCGGCGAAGACCAACCAGTTCCTCGTCACCAGTATTTGCCCAACACAACCTAGCCTTATTCGTGTGGTGTATGCCTGTCTGTGTGCGCGGAATGCTAATGTAGTTCTTTTTTTTGTTTTTCCACAATGTAATTTTCGCAGCCCGCACTAAGTTGAGGTATGAAGAGTATGCACACTGGCTGCAGCATTCTTTTCACTTCTTGCTTCGCAAGGGATGTGTGACCAATAACAAAATGTAACAAGGCGATGAGATCATCAGAATGAATCTGTTCGTATGTATTGTAAGTAGCAGTGTCTGTGTAATCTTCCTTTCAGGTGGCGGCACAGTTCATGCTGATAACACTGTTGCAGAAGGTGATAGTGGTAGTGGTGGTAGTTGTGGTGATGGTACCAGTACGCATGGTATTGCCATTGGTGCTGGTGATCCAAGGACAGATGATGCTAGTATTACTGGCATTACCAATGGTGGCGCTGCTGATGTTGCTCGTACTGGAGAAGAGTTTACACGAGAAGCAAAAACAATGAAGGCTGCTCATACAGTTTCTAGAAAACGCGGCAAGCAAGCACATCGCTATGACACAGGACTTGCTAAGGTATGGTTATTGGTTACTAGTAGTACTTGATTTAGAATACTAGCACAGAAGACAGTATAATCTGGTGGGTGTAGGCAAAGTACGCATGCTGAGTTCCAAACATATACCGTACGTCAAATATCACAACGATTCATCACTCAAGAAGAGAGAGAGAGAGAGAGAGAGAGAGAGAGAGAGAGAGAGAGAGAGAGAGAGAGAGAGAGAGAGAGAGAGAGAGAGAGAGAGAGAGAGAGAGAGAGAGAGAGAGAGAGAGAGAGAGAGAGAGAGAGAGAGAGAGAGAGAGAGAGAGAGAGAGAGAGAGAGAGGAGGGAGAGAGGAGAGAGAGAGAGAGAGAGAGAGAGAGAGAGAGAGAGAGAGAGAGAGGGGGGGAGAGGAAGCTGTATTTCGACTTCTATTGTGTGGAAGGCTCTGCCGTAGATAGGTATTCAGCACTATTACTGAGGGCAGTGGACCACCCTACTTGATTACAATTGATTTATAAAGTGCTTCGAAAAGAAATGGAATTAAATCATTAGTATGAAGGATGTGGGATTCATTGCATCTGCCACGGGTTGGGAGTGGTGCCATCAAGATCTTCAAGCCTCGTACAATGCTGATCCCTGCACAGTCTAGCATATTCCCTGCACAGTCTAGCATATTCCCTGCACAGTCTAGCATATTGACGACACGCTGATGCACTGGCATACATATACAAGCTATAATGTGAACTGTGAAGACATGCCATCTCAGCTTGCTGGCCTGCAATCATCTACGGCTGGCCAGCATCCCTGTGCCGGCTACTGGCCTGTCCACACTAGACTTCAGCATTCTGACACGTGACATTACCCCCATCAACTCCAACCCCCTGCGTATGTGTTATCCCAGTGACAGCCCAGCCCACTGGCAGCACTGGCAAGGCAGGGTTGTTATCCCAGTGACAGCCCCCACTGGCAGCACTGGTAAGGCAGGGTTGTTATCCCAGTGACAGCCCAGCCCACTGGCAGCACTGGCAGCACTGGCAGCACTGGCAAGGCAGGGTTGTTATCCCAGTGACAGCCCAGCCCACTGGCAGCACTGGCAAGGCAGGGTTGCAGGCTGCCGGCTACTCTTAGTGGTCTAGTTGGCCGACGACGTGTGTGTGTGGGGGGGGGGGGGACAGGGTAACATGTGCACTGGTATGTCACTTTGCCTCTGTTGGCTGGGATGTGCATGGAAAGGGTCGGCTTGGCTGAGTTACACCTCATCCACCGAGCTCATATTGAGTCAAGGGTGTGTACTACTCTTCACACATGGATTTAAATACTCAGGTATATCGTGACGCTGTTCACTATTCCGACATGCAAGCGTTCCATCATTCGACATGCTGTTTGTCATTCTGAAACTGCAGCAAGAAGAAAGGTTGGACAGGCTTGAAAGTCAGCTACGCAAAGTGATCAAAGAGATGAGGAACGACTTTGGTGACGATGTCATGTTCAGGGTAAGCAGCTCTACTCTTTGACATGATACTATTATTTAACATTACAGTCATATGTATCCTATTGCAGTGCTTCATAATCAGGCAGCACGGCCACGCCAACTCACAGCCAATGCAGAGAAGTAACTCCCACCCTGCACATCCCATGAATGGTGGATGAAGCGGGTGCATAATCTTTCCAAATCACCTCAACTCACGAGCTCAGACTGTGTACTAGAAAGGTTTCGAATTTGTACATTGAAAGGAGTGTGAGTTCAACGGAATCATGAACATATGACTAGATCATAACTTTGACTCCTTAGTGGACTTCCGATGGTTGATAGGACACCAACTACATGTACCTACTCAGTCCAACATCTAACCTGCAACTTACCCAATCCTGCAACTTACCCAATCCTGCAACTTACTCAATCCTGCAACTTACTCAATCCTGCAACTTACTCAATCCTGCAACTTACTCAATCCTGCAACTTACTCAATCCTGCAACTTACTCAATCCTGCAACTTACTCAATCCTGCAACTTACTCAATCCTGCAACTTACTCAATCCTGCAACTTACTCAATCCTGCAACTTACTCAATCCTGCAACTTACTCAATCCTGCAACTTACTCAATCTGCGGACAGAACAACACGAACTGGAGTGTGTGACATTTGACATTCAAGAGGAGAACGGGGCAACACATAGTCACATACAGTCAGACCGTCTCGCTTACCTCGCTTACCTCGCTTAGGGGTCGTCGCAAAAGTTCTTTGTCGTCCCTGAAACGAACATGATTCATTTGGGGGAGGAGGGGGTGCGAGCCAAAATCGCAAGCCGACCGACGCTGTACATATGACGTGCACATGCATGCCATTTTCGTCGTCCAGCATAGCAAGCTGTGTTCGTTTCAGAGGGAGGGGAGGGGTCCGAGTACGAAATGAACGATGTTCGTTTCAGGGACGACAGAAAACTTTTGCGACGACCCCTTATCCGGTCCTCTTTAATCCAGATCCCTCGCCATCCGGAAGAAAATGCTGGTACCCATGTGCAGCATACGTTATGCATACAACATACCGGACCTCGCGATCCGCATACCGGTGCATGATTTTGTGTACAAACTGGTTGAAATGTGTACAAACAGCTTCGTCGGATCCGGTTGACGTGGCTTGCAGAAGCTAGACTCAGGGAGTTGCGCAAATAAAGGTCCTTGACCTGCTGGATGCATGCGGATAGCACTCAGTTGCATGCGCTTGTCATTTGTCTCGCTTGTTTTACATATTATGAACGCTACTTGGTTGTACTGCATAGGACCCATAATTATACATGTACAGTAGGTATCGGTTATAGCGTGGGTGTTTGAAAAACGACATTTGATTCTTATTGCCGATATTTCTTACACACGATAAATCACGTGTGACATATCATATGCACGTGTGACATCATACATGTACATATGTATGCGCGCACGTTTGGCATGTGGACACACGTACACATGATACACGTACACACGGATCAATCAGACTCGCGGTCATGCTAGGCGACTGCGGAGCAGCGGATACCAGAGAAGTCGGAAGAAAGAGTCCGACTGGACAGAAAAAGTGATTCTCCAATGCTCTCTTGGACATAACTCTCTTTTTGTGTTGAATATTATTGTATTGAGTATGCACAGAGCACAGATGTTATTACTACAGGCGATACACTTTGCACTAATCTGGCATATTTTGCTACACAAAATCCATTCTTAGGGTCGATATATTCTACTATGCGATAATACTGCTTGTAAGAATAAATATACACATAAAATATGTGTTATGATTATGAAAAAATGAGTGTTCATTCTTGTAAGCAGTATATTCTTGTATACGACCACACTATAACCGATACGCACTGTACTTCTTTGAAGTATGTACGATGCCACCCCTTTTGATGTGCCACATGCATGTACAGTATGTGTGTTCAGTTATCCGGTTCCCTCGCCTATCCGAATATTTTCGTGGGAAATGGATGTGTGTGGTTAAGCGAGGTCTAACTGTACCATAACGAGGCTCTGAACGCAGAGAAGATGGTACTCTCATGAACATGCACATTGATTCCTAGGCTGACAACCGTCATTTCTGTCCTTGTTCGGCTTTTGTTTGGGTCATTCTACTTAGGGTGTAAACTACCTGGAGAAGATGAGAACGGACCGAAAAGAGCGCATCTTCTGGCTACATCACCATCACAGAGACGTAGCAATTGAGAAATTCAGAGCGCCGGTGTCTGTTGTGAATGTGGGCCATTGGTAACATACCCAGAAGCCCTGCCCTTCTGCCAAATTGCATTATGGCAAATAGTTGCAAATACACACCCTTGAACCGGATTTATGCATCCTTGCACCAGTGTGCACCCTCACACACGCACACACATACAGAACAACACTAGGACCACCACAATCGTGAGATTATCATCAGGATAGTGAATTATAGAGTATATTTGTTTTCGGATGACTATTGCCCTTTTTCACTCCTCTTTTTCTCCCTCTCTCTCATTCACATCCACTCCCACTCCGAATATTCCCTAAATGAACAATTCTCGTTGACAAAGGTTTACACAGTTCATCGTCTTGAGGGAGTCATACCCCCCACCCCCGAGTCTTAGCTTGCTGATCCCGTTTTGTATATCTATTCTCTGCACACTGTATTAGAAGGTGGATGCTTTCCATGCTTCCTGCCGTCTGACTAAAACTTGACTAACCATCGACTCGACAAACCTTCAAGCCTTTGAAAACACTCCCTGCTCAATATACAGTGCTTCGGGTACTCTAGCTCATAATTTCAGCTAGAGTAATCTGATGATGAAATGTGTGCTCCTTATGTAGTGCTCTCCCGGAGTCAAAGCTAGGGAACGGGTTCCAGGGAGACAAAATATTCCCGATCATCTGGTGACACTGCACCCGTGCAGGGGGACAATACGAAGAGGAATTTCTGGACATGTTGCGGTTTTCATCATGGTGGCCTTTGCGTGCTCGGCAATTTACCCTTCACCATTAATTTGGGTTTGGCGGGGTTTGGTGGTCTTTGCGATATGCATACAACAACTACTTGCTGGGATTCCCTGAGCGAATCTGAATTCAAGCCTTTTTACAAAGTGAGAAAAGGACCCAAGCAGAACAAAGGAGTAATAGCAGCAAATGCTAAAGTTGCAGTATGCAGACTGAGAGTGAAGTTCAATAGGTACATGGAGTGTGTGTAAGACGGACTATGTTAGGTCACCAAGGTACCATCCGCTACCATCTGCTACCATCCGCCACCATCTGCTACCATCCGCCATCACCAATCTTTCAGAAACATGCACCGCCAAGTGAAAAATATAATGAACTCACGCTACGAACGTGATGAACTCTCGCTATGGGCTCTAAATTCACGCGCAGCCAGCTGATGACATGGTGGAAAAAAGGGTGTGACTTTATAGGGGGGAAAGTGCTGGGGGGATAAAAAGCAGGGGTTTTTTGGTGCACTCTCCCCAGCAGGAGGGGGGTCGGAGGACAAGAGTAAGCCTCCAATCCCACCCTCCACCGTTCGATGGTTTGCTTATATAGGAGCTCAGACAAAGGTGTGAACACTACGCCAATCAGCATCAAGCAACACCTAAAAGCGCTAAAAGCGCTAAAACTACTCACAACTCACCTTTTGTCTGTGACATTCACTGGAAATGCCGAGATTCACACAAAATGTGGTGTGATGGCTCAAATGCAGCGCTGGACCTGAAGCAGGTGACAGAACAGGAATAACAGCAGTGAGAATTACACAGCAGCCGGGAAACTTGACAAGCACAATCTGGGCATTGCACACCTAAAAGTTCAACATTACTGGCATCAGTCATCCTCCACTCACTCCACTCACTCCGTATTATCTGTCAACCACCATGCCGGTGCAACATGCTTCACACGATCTAAAACCAAGCTTTGCCTTCCGATTTACCACCCAATTTACAAATGATCACACTCATGACTGTGCACTGCTGATACTAAACGTCACCAAATGTGCTCATATAGGTGAGATGTTGTCAATGTGTAGGTGATATGTTGTCAATGTGTACAAGTACAAGTACATCTAGTAAATAGGTGGGTGGCAACCAGGGAGTCGTACTCAAACTAGGGAGGTGACACGGCACAGAAATTCGTGTCACAGGGGTTGACTCGCACCCGTGACCCCTCGTTGTTATTTTTGGAATAGTTCAGTCCAGTCCAGTCCGAAAGGTCATACTCGGATCGACTCGCCTTCTGTACTTCACCTCCAAGCGTGCCGCATGGGTGTCTAGTTTTTGAAATTATTGAGGCAGCACATTTCGTTTACAGCCCATCAATCGCCAGTATTCTTTGAAAGACTACCAGCAATTTGTTTACCTCCTGCCATGTCCGAACTAATTGATAGCAGTGATGGCAACAGCAGCAGTTATGAGACGGCGTGTAGTGTTACGGTAACTGTTCAGAACTGTTCAGAGTCGTATCCTAGGTTAATCCGAATACTAAAAATTGACCCAAATTGCACATAGCACGAAGCTGGTTTTTGAAAATTGTAAGTCGTGTATCTGCCCCATTTCTTCTTTATGACTTGCACAATACACCAGTCTTCCTAAACAACACATTTCTAGCAGGGGTTAAGTACCATATAAGAGAAGTACAGCCAGTGATATTGTCATGTTGAAATACTACAATTTTGACACAAATTACACATAACACGAAGCCAGGTTTTGAAAAATGTAAGTCGTGTATCTGCCCCATTTCTTCTTTATGACTTGCACAATGGTCCAGTCTGCCTAAATAACACATTTATAGCAGGGGTTATGTACCATATTAGAGAAGTACAGCCAATGATATTGTCATGTCTAAATACTACAATTTTGACACAAATTAGACATAACACGAAGCTGGTTTTTGAAAATTGTAAGTCGTGTATCTGCCCCATTTCTTCTTTATGACTTGCACAATACACCAGTCTTCCTAAACAACACATTTATAGCAGGGGTTAAGTACCATACAAGAGAGCTACATTGTACATCTAGTCATACTGTCATAGCCAGCCACCATCATCATTATTTCCAGGGAAATCCTCTTACATTGTCAGCTCCTACGTCGTTAGATACAATGTAGGGGGCTGTAGGACCGGCTCGTCAAAGATAGAGAACCTGAACAAGCGTGCTCGGGACGTCTCAGCAATCGTAGTATGCCTGAGCACTCCAATAAAAACTTGATCAATGGCAAAATCGTTCCCCACAGAAAAATCATACTTTGCGGGTCTCGCGTTGCACGCTTGGAGGTGAAGTACAGAAGGCGAGTCGATCCGAGTATGACCTTTCGGACTGGACTGGACTGAACTATTCCAAAAATAACAACGAGGGGTCACGGGTGCGAGTCAACCCCTGTGACACGGATTTCTGTGCCGTGTCACCTCCCTAGTTTGAGTACGACTCCCTGGTGGCAACACACCACACACCAACAAGGGAAAGGGGGGGGGGGGGGAATTCACTGCCGAAACAAAAAATTAGTACCCTGATCTATATTCACTAGGTCGCAAACAGTGTAGACCAATGTGAGTCCCTGCATGCCTATAGGCTATAGATGGGGCAATCTAAGCCTGAAACTAGGAAGTTTTGGATTTCCTACCAGTCATAGCAAGAGTGGATGTGGCAAATGGGATTTCAAAGTAGGCCTCTGGCCTCTGGGGTTGGTGGATCTGATCTCTCCTCCCCCACCGTTTAGGAGCCGCATCTGACGCCTGATCATGGGGTGGTGGCGTCCCACGGAAGCGGAAAGGTGGTTCTTGACCAGGGAGTTGTACGACTCCTTGTTTTTGACCTGCCCGGTACGCGAACCCGTCGAATTTTTTCTTCTTTTTTTTTATAGCAAGAGTACATAAGCAAGATCAGGCAAGAGTGTGCAACTCGACGATCCCCCACGGTGCAATCCTAGAGTATGCATTGCACTAACTGCCCTCACTGTTGCCCAATCAGACAGGCTGGAACGATTCCCACGCTGTGCCGCCCGACTTTGCCTGCGCTTTTCCCCTTTACCCCAATTGATCATTCTTTTCTCCTGCACGGACTTAACCTCCCCACTCTTTACAGCCGCCGCGTTCTCAAGCACGTACTCATTGCTCACAAAATTCACCAGAGGCATGCACCCTCACACGTCACCAACCTTGCTTCTACCCCTCAGTTGTAATTACAGCCTACCCCATTAGGTACCCTCGCTCCTATCACCTGCCAACAACCCGTAGTGACCAGCACAAAGGCTCCCCATTTAACATTGCCCTCGACCACTACAAGCAATTTCCCACCCGACCTGACGTGCGATTCCCCAAGTTGAGCTTTTTAAAGGATCCACGGCCAATCTTCTTGTGAATTCTCTTTGCAGCTGGTCTCAACATGCAACCTGCAAGTACTAGGTTCTAACCTCCTTCCCTCATTGTTAGTACTGTTCTCTCATCTCTTATTTGCGCATCTCCCCTAGTCGTAGAGTAGCAATGAATACCAATTGTGCACTCATAACCGTGTATAAAACAATTATTAAAATGAAAAACATGAAAATTCTAGAACGTTTTCTCGTGACTATCGTCAGTGGAACATCGTCACATGGTAAGAATCACTGAAACAACCAGTTATATAGCTAGAATAATATCACAAATAGCAGCTCGCGGCTACACATAGCGTCATTTACACCAGCAGTGTAAGCTTACCGTAACGCCATTGAATGCGAAAATGGTAGCGGCAAATACATGTGGCAGATGTATGTGCGTGTGTGGACAACAAAGTGTGAGTGCATTGTATTTGAAGAGTGTGAGTGCTACAGCGTTTTATTTCTGCTTACACAGCACAGGCCGGGTCACGTGTATGAATATAGACAGCTTCTACCAACTGCAACTGCCTAAAGAAGCCAAAGAACTTCCCTAATCATTACAGTTTAGCCACTTGTATTAGTGTTGCAGAATGTTCCAAAGTTGTGAGCTGGGAACTGTGATTGGCTGATTATACTCATGTTCCAGAAGGTTCTATAATTTTGCCGGCAACCGCCCGTCATTCCCGCAGCAGAGACCGTTCAACATTTTCTTCAGACTTCGTAACTCACACTTCCTGTGAATCCACACAGGCGGGTGGGACGCAGCCCTCACTGTAACCCACACACTTCACATACAAACAGCGATGCTCTAACCACTGAGCTAAGGTGTAGGCGCCATTCCAGCAGAGACCGTTCAACATCATGTTTTCTTAATACCGGTAATAATATTATTAGTCTTTGCAAGCGCGTTAAGCTTGACTTGTCGTCACTGTCACTGACGACCAGTTTGATACGGTTTGCTGTCCAAGTAGTACTGGTCAGTGTAGTAGAATCATGCATGAGGCTCCAAATTGCACTGCACTGGTGAGTTTATAACAATTATTGTAAGCTGGCTGATTTGTTTTAGCTCCGAGCCTGGAGCTGTCTGACTGACTGAGCACTGACATGTACTGTACTTACCTTCACTTTTCTTCCATCCAAACGAACACCCGCTAGCTCTACCTCTGCTGCAAGTCACCGTCAGTTCTGCTTCACATACACTAAGTTTTGAGCGTGGAGGGCCATCATCAGGGTGAACCCCTACTGAACTACTTCAAATCACGGTCACAGACAGTCAGTAAACAACCATGTACCACAATCAGTAGATATGGCATGGGTTGCTGTAGCCGGGATGTGATGAGAAGAAAGCGAAGTAAAATTAATAATAATTAAATTATTTAGTTGAAAAGCAAAATGTGCCAGATACATGTGCCTTGTAGGTGTATTATTCAAGAATATTATTATACCCTGTTATGTATGATGAGTTCACTGGACCAGTACTGCTACTCTACACACATACATTGTATGTGTGTAAAGTAGCAGTACTGCCACTGGTCCAGTGAACTGAGCTGGGGAGGGCCTAGGGAGGAAGAGAAGTTGAGGGTATGCCTGTGTGTGAATTTATGACCGTGTTAGCACGCCATAGAAAGTCATAACATTTCAGTCATTTGTAGTAGAGCCATACCGCCGTTACCAGCCCATATGTGTGACATCAACTTGAAGATGAAAGCAAAATCGGTTTGGTAAGTACACTGAGTGCAATCAGCAGCTACATGTAGCACAAACATACACTAACTTGTGTGTGAAGTTATTGTGCCATTATATGCCGCTGAACATCACAGTCTATCACAACACCAACATACTTCACAGTTCTTTCTATAGAGCTTTGAGTTGAAGTTTTTTGGAACCCACCAGCTCCGTACAAAAATTCATTTCAAACCAGAAGGAAAGTGCGGAGTTTGATTCTCCGCAGTGCGCGAACTGCAGCTGGATGATGTAATGAAGGCAGCGCGCTGCACATCTGGCCCATAGAAAATAGATCACAGTTGCATACTCTTGTTTACGGACTCTTGCCGGCGTCATTCGCTGAATCAACAAAACTTGCTGCTGCATGCAAGTTCACACACGCTGCTGCTGTTGCTTGTATTAATTCAGCACATTGTATTGGCTGTTAGACATGCAAAGCAATGAGCAGCGAAGAAAATAACTACAGACGACGGGAAATGACACAGCCAAGAAGAAAGAAAAATAGCAGCAGAAGATGCATTGATATGCTAGACAGTATTTACAACACATCACCGTCCACATAAGCAGAAGAAATGAAACACATAGCACTGTAGAATAAGATCCGTACTAGAATATATTATGCAGCTGTGTCCACAGAACACACCCACACCCACGCACAAACACACCCACGCACAAACACACACCCACACCCACACCCACACACACACACACACACACACACACACACACACACACACACACACACACACACACACACACACACACACACACACACACACACACAAACACAGCATGGACACTGTACGGCAATAGTGTACACAATGAGCATAGTATGCACACAATACATGCATGCACAGCATTCACTGTGTATCAATATCAACCTAATAGTAATAGATATACTAGGTGATGCAAGATATGAAAGCCACATGCATTGCCTCAAAACAGAGAAATGAACACTGAACTCCACATGCGAAATCTGATAAGGGAAAAGAAGCTAACGCTATATCAGTGCGCAGCAAAAAGCTGCAGTGAGCAGCTTGCGCCTACCATCTCCCACCACCGCGATAACCACCACCAGCACCACCACCGCGATAAGCACCACCACCGCGATAACCACCAGCACCAGCACCACCATAACCACCACCAGCACCACCATAACCACCAGCACCACCATAACCACCACCAGCACCACCTTGACCACGGCGAGCGTACCTTGGTCGATAGCCAGGACGGAAACCACCACGGCTTGGCATCGGTGCAGGTGCAGATGAAGCTTGTCTGCATTCAGAGGATACACATCACCAAGAAACAAACACAATAATAACAGAGAGGTTGCGCACAATGAAATTCGTAGCGCCGTAACGAATATTTTTCACGAAAAAAGCTAACGAATATTCGTAAACCGGGAGGTTGCGCACAACGCGTGAACTTTTTCGTAGTGGGTCGACGCAGCGGCCGCGCGGGTGCGAAGGGTCAAGACAGGGAGTTGTAAAATATCAGTATTTTAGTACTCCAGGTAACGAAAAATATTATCGTAGATCTGCTCTGTTTCGGTTGCGTTTGGACGGATCTTCGCAGCAACTTTCGTTACTCGAACCCGGACGGTCAAAATCTTACGAAGTTTCGTTGTGCACAACCTCTCTACTAACTCCTTCAACAACTGATTCATCACAAGTACTTGGTAGTTGTTTTCTATAGAATGCAAAACAAGCCTGCCAGGAGTATCCCACATTTGCCAAAAAATCAGAACGTAGAGTCACCGTCTCCTACCACCTACAGTATCACAGGCGTCAGCCTTTCTCCAAAAGTCACCAAAGTCACTCAGGTGGCTTTGACAAGTTAAAAAAAAAAGAAAAGAAGTAAAGTTAGCCGGATTCGTGGCCGCAAAACCTGACGTGTTGAGGAACACACCAAGCCAAAACGTTCACATCGATGGGCCACCACTTCGCAAGTATATCCTCAGTGTCGAATGCAGACTTCACAAGTGAGTCAGGGGAGAGGGGATATTTGACAAGTTAGGGCCTTGAGAATGAGTCCATGGCCATGCTGTTCTTGTCTCATGGAGAGAGTAAATTGCACTGCAGGAGTTGACTGCAAGTGATTTGTTGATAAAAAAAGGAGTTTTGAGTGGTATCTTGGTATAGTAGGGAGTCCCTGCGCAACATTGCATGGCAAAATGTAACAAGAGAAAGTACAGTTTCCTTGGAGACAAAAATGCTCTAATACTAAGAAGAAGAAGGCCACACTTCAGATTCTTGAACAACATTTCGAATTCTCAAAATGTTGTTCAAGAACCTGAAGTTTATAATTCTTAGAAAGGGAAAGGGACCAAGAAACTACAAGTTACACTATAATGTCCACTACACCACTAGCACCAGCACCAGCACCAGCTGATTGTTTAGAAGCTGGTGGTGTTAGTGGACATTATAGTGTAACTTGAAGTTCCTTGGTCCTTTTTCTTTTCCATAAATTTATCCTTGGCTCTTCATCCGAGTCCATTATTGTATAATTCTTCTTAGAATTATAAGAGAAAAGTAAGTTGGATATGCTGAACAATAGACCAACGCACTCACTTGTATGCCTCAGAGTGGGCCACTTGCTTTCTAGCTACATCACCAGCCAGTGCCTGCACAAGGTCGACAGTCTTCTTATCCGCTTCTTCCAAATTCAAAGCAACTGACGGGTTGCCAGCAACACGGAATAGGACACCATCCATGGACTTTCTCAAAGCAGCAATTAGAGCTGCAGTACTGAATGGCAAACCAAGCCGGATCCTAAGGAAACAACCAACAGTTGCGCAAGCATACAGCCAATGTTTTCAAAGATCAAACTGGGCCCAAACCTATGGCCAAGCACAAACACTAAACTTCAATAGTCCAGTTAACCTCCATTATCTCTCTCTCTCTCTCTCTCTCTCTCCCTCTCCCTCTCCCTCTCCCTCTCCCTCTCCCTCTCCTCTCTCCTCTGTCTGTCTGTCTGTCTGTCTGTCTCTCTCGGTCTCTTTCTCTGTCTCTGCCTCTCTGTCTCTGTCTGCCTGTCTCTGTCTGTCTGTCTGTCTGTCTGTCTGTCTGTCTGTCTGTCTCTGTGTCTGTCTGTCTATGTCTGTCTGTCTGTCTCTGTCTGTATCTGTTTCTGTCTCTATCGGTGTGTCTCTCTCTCTCCCTGTGTCTCTCTGTCTCTCTGTCTCTCCGTCTCGGTCTTTCTGTCTCCGTCTTTGGCTCTGTCTGTCTCTCTGTCTGTTTCTCTATGCCTATCTCTGTCTCTGTCTCTCTGTTTCCCTCTGTCTCTGTCTCTCGCTCTGTACCGTATTTTCCGGAGTATACGCCGCACCCAGATTTTTTTGTCACGAAATACAGACATCCACCCTATATATCACCGAAATACAGACATCCACCCTATTATATTATATCACCGTCCATTTGACCATCATAGTATACGCCGCACCGACTGTTTTGGGTGTTTTGGGTGTATTACTTATGAAAGAGTGGCTGATACTCCGGAAAATACGGTATATCTGTCTGTCTGTATCTGTCTCTCACCCCACCTCCTCTATCTCTTATCTCTGTCTCTCTCTCCCGACAGCACTCCTCGCTGGCTAAAAGCAACATAAATTAACAGGCATATGAAAGGCGGCTAATGATCTAGTGGCTACAAACATACCATTCATCCAGAGAAACAGACTCAGACCCAGCATCGGCAATGCGACATCCAAACAGCAATAGGTGCAGTGGTGAGATCATTGTCATTTGTTTCGCGGCGACGGCACGTGTACGAAGCTTAAAAAAAAGGAAAGGAGATCAGCAAACAATGGCACTGTTGCAGTGGTAATACTATTATTATTCAGAGCTAGTCGTACTCAGCAGCCCAAACTAATTTCAGGCGCTTGACAATCAGAATTACACAAGGTCGTACCGTATTTCTCCAATAATAAGTCGCACTCGATTATAAGTCGCATCCTAACTTTCAGGTCTGAGCCATATTGTTTCAATATGTTCTTGTAAGTAGGTTGTCACACTCAATTGTAAGTCACATCCCCTTCTTTGCCTCTTGAAGTTTAGCATAAAAATGGTGTAACTTATATTCGGGAAAATACGGTACCACTGCCTTATCAACAGATTTTTTTCGGATTTTTGATGATTTTCACATGAAAACGACGTTCAAATCATAAAATATTGTTCCATTGTTCTCGTGGTATGCGTGTGCTCACTTTACTTTCAGCAATACAAAGCAAGGTTGAGTTGGGTAACTCCGCTCTTCTTCCTCGCTCACCGGAGGAATTTCTCTAGTCTCCTCGCGCAACTGGGGAGCACTCCAATGGAGAGAGAAAGATTTTTATAGGGCGGCTTGGTGTGAGAGGTGGACTGAGACTTGACGGCGCTAACGGCGAATATCAAGACCTTACGGCCACGGAGCTGCGGGACTCTGCGCTGGTCGTCTATCCGTGTGGAGGCAAAGCAAACGCGGGCAACATTCTGCTGAAGCGAGCGTGGAGCTGAAGCTGGATTGGTGACTGACGTACCTGCTTACTCCACAACACCGGCGCATAATGATGTGCATGTACAAGACTTCGTGAGTATTCAACTCAAATTCGTGTTCCGTCAGCGTCAGTATCAGCAAGTACAGTCATGTAGTACAATTTGTTCCCAAAATAACTTCGGGACAGTCTGTTCATGGTTTTCATTTGTATTGGACTCGTTCTCTACACTTGCGATAATTTAGCGGCAATTCTAACGTTGTAGCGTTGTTCTCTTGTAATTTAGTGGAACCTGTATTGAGTAACTGAGTTTTATGTTTCGTTACATTGTCGTCAGATCTCCTGTGTACCGGTTTTGTGGCACAATGATTATTTATAGCCATTATATTTGGTCGTCTCCATTCTTGTGCAATCATGCGTACATGTATGTAGGTTGGTTCTCTTCATGTTATTGTGACCAATTTCATAGATGTTGGTTGCCTTGTTGCTTTCTCTCCCCTCTCCTCTCACCCAAGCCATTCTGCATAAGCGAAGCTGTGGACGCAGCATACTGCTGCTACACTTCAACGCGGGAATGCGTATAATAATAATAAAATAATACAAAGCAAAACAGAGAGGTTCCAGGCTGTCCAATACAGTGCTCAATACCGAAAAGCAGAGCTTGTTCAAACAATAATAAGAGGACTAAAAAAAGTGTTTTAAAACTCTGAGTTTCACGCACTAAGCGATCATCAGAAAACAGTAATGAGTAAATCTGGATCAGTACTGGTTTATATACCCACAAACTTGCAAAGTGTAAATGACCGCAGACGTGAAAGATTGCATCATGGTGGAAATTTAAAAGGTACGAATGACACATGATGCAATCTTTCACGTCTGCGGTCATTTACACTTTGCAAGTTTGTGGGTATATAAACCAATACTGATCCAGATTTACTCATTGCTGTTTTCTGATGGTCGCTTAGTGCGTGAAACTCGGAGTAAAAACACTTTTTTAGTCCTCTTATTATTATTGTTCAAAGCGCAAAGTATATCATTTAAAAGGATTTAAAAGTGGCTTCAAACAAATAGCAACACATTCTACTTGTGGCAAGAGCTATTCAAAACCGCCGGCCAGTAGCAAGACAAGAATTAGATCGCGCAGCCAGCAACAAGACAACTAATAGATAGTGCGACCAGCAACAAGACGACTATTTGGTAGTGCTGGCCAGCAGCAAGATAACAGTATGATAGAACCGAACACCAGCAGGACACATCAGAAATTCAGGATTAGAACTTGGAAGTTGGCACTGTGTGTGCTCGAAGAGTCAACAGTACCTACAACCAAAGTTAGGGGCAAGATCTGACAGAGACATGCATGTTAAAACATGCAGGAATATGACATTGTACAGTGCAATTTTCCTTTACGAGAGTGATTTACCACACACCCTCACTTTGGGTTATTCATGCACAGGCTTATCCCGAAAACAACTTGAAAGCTTCTACCGTATTTTTTTTTACCGGTTGTTAGTCGACTCCGGTTATAGGTCGACCCCCGTATCCGGAGGTCTCAATTCTGCTTTTTAAAGTTGTCACCCAACGAAGCACTACTAACTACTCCCTACTACTAGCACATCAACAAATCATGTAAACATTCCTTATTGGAGAGTATAACGTCCCAATCCTTGAAAAAGGCCAATAAACTGGCAAAAATGTGTACACATGGTGCATGCAGTGCAGGTCTTTTTTTTTAAAGATACTGATAGTTCCCGGTTAGAAGTCGAATCCCGGTTGTAAGTCGACCCCACCCTTTCTCCTTCTATTTTTAGTCGTAAAAGGTCGACTTACAACTGGAAAAATACGGTATATGAAGACACGAAGCAGGTAACTAAATATACTTTACCTTCTCTCCAAAGACAAAGTAAGGTGATGGAAACGTAACGTCCTGGTTGGAGCAGTTGACAGATGACTTGTGAATCAAGGCCATACGGTCTCCGGGTGTCCACACCTTTCTTTTCTCTTTGTGAACACAAACATTCGGGTAGAGTCCAGTCACGAGCAGAGCAATAACCTATCATACAATCAGACAACAACCGCAACAACAACAACAACAACAACAACAACAACAACAACAACAACAACAACAACAACAACAACAACAACAACAACAACAACAACAACAACAACAACAACAACAACAACAACAACAACAACAACAACAACAACAACAACAACAACAACAACAACACTAATCGTGAGAATAAAGAATTCAAATTCAAAAACAACAACAACAACAACAACAACAACAACAACAACAACAACAACAACAACAACAACAACAACAACAACAACAACAACAACAACAACAACAACAACAACAGTGAATGTTAATGCCTACTGTGGCTGGACTGGTTTAAAGCACAGAAACAATGAAGGCAGCAAGGTAACCATCCTGGTTCATGTTTGCAGCAAAATTTTACTAGTTACTCCGAAACAAGCTTTGAACGCATGAGTGACTCTGGCCAGTGACGCAACGGCTGTTCTCTGGCTGACAAACACAGAACAGGACCAATACCGCTGGGCGAGAATACTCACTTTCACCTCTTGGCTCTGAATACATGTGCAAGTAAGAATTGTGAAAATAATAAAATATTTCCAGTAAACCACTTGGAAAGGAATTCCAAGATGGAGTGAACTTCCCGTACATACATGTATAAATAAGGCTCACCATATCAAGGTAGTGATCTGCTCCATACACAGAAAATGGATGTGGCTTCAGGCAGTCTGTAAAACAAATCACATGTCATACCAGGGTTCTAGCCAGGAAAAAATAGTAGTGGGGGCACAGACAGCTGACCAGCACCAATTCCTACCAATTTGTTCCAATATCGCCTTCTTTCGCTACACATAAGACACACTAATTCATGTGTGTCTGACAAGTCGACAGCAGCAGCTACCGGTATGTAGTGTTGTGTAGTGCTGCGCTCTCTCGAACTTGCCCAATAGGACATTGGATCTGGCTTGTGCAACTAAACCAAGACTTCGCATTTTTGTTATGATAACCTGAAAAAGCAAATATGAGTAGGGAGCGGAACCTCACAGGGCACTCCATCTGAGTAGGGAAGAGTGGCCCAGAATTGTGAACTCAGTAGTCAAGTAGGACAGTGCTTGGCTATCACCCCTCTCTCGCACTCGTATGTGTGCCAATTGGTCTTGTACCACGAGTTGAGTGAAATAAAATCAAATAAAATTACAGTAACTGAGTATCTGGTGGGAATTGGGAACCATTAGTATTCATTGTGCCACAATATCAGACTGCAAATGTGACCAGTAGCAATACTATAATGGAAAGACAATCACTACACTGCAAATATAACAAGACCATTAGCAGCCAGTACATAACAATGCAAGACTGAGTGTCCCCTAGTACAGACCTTCAGGAAATCCACAGCCCAGCAAGAGTTCACGGAGCTGGTACTGCAGCCACAACAAGGAGGGAGGGAGAGATAGCAGGAGACAGACGTACAGAGAAGAGAAAATAAGCATTTTAAGTACTGTAAAACACGATATTTTCGGTGTAACCTTAAAGGGGAAGTTAAGGCAAAAATTAAAATTTCACCAGTTGTAGTCTTTGGGGTGCTGAGTCGAATGGTCTTGGTCCGAGAAAGCTGAGACGCTCCCTTCCTACTTGAATCCCAATCGAACTCGCGCACTTCCACCGAAACTGGGTGACTGCGCCCTACTAGATGGGGATTTGTATGCAAAATGTCACTAAAAGCGCCATTTCGTTCTTATAAAAGCACGGATGACCGCGATTGGCCCATATGTTGTACTCTTTTGGACGCTGAGTCGACTGGTTTTGGTCCGAAAAGGCTGCGATGCAGCGTTCCTCCTTTATTCCCAATCGAACATGGTTGAACAAGCGGTCACGTGCTCCTGGGTGCCCAAATCACCTGGTCACCAAGCCAGCAGGCGACAACTTTCACACCAAGGTTCAACTCGAGTGACAGGACTGCACCCAAACAAGGTCAAACAGGCTAGTAAGCTGTACCCTGCAGGCACGGTGACCAGGTGACTGGTGTACGCAGGAGCACGTGACCGCTTGTTCAAGGAGATTCCTTTCAGCACAAAGCTGACGGTGATATATGTCTACCAATTGCCTAAGGGATTTCTAGTGGATCGCCGAGCCTTTCATGATATATTTCTTTGGAAAACGTAGCAGAATAAGGGTGTATTTGACTGGTCGGATCCGGAACAGGATCGTTTAGAACAGGAACGTTTGATTGGTCTGGAGTGTTTGGAGTGTTAACATGTTCTGGACACTCCCATCCCCAAGGCTGAAGCGGCCAAAGCAAGTTTCAAAACCCCATAACAAAACTGACAGGCCTGCACATTGATTTTTTATTGATTTTTTATTCAAAGTGAAAGGCATGTTCAAGGATTTTGTGTTGTTTTGCAACTGAAAATCTACATACCGTATTATCTCTATTACAAGCGCAGTCTCTTGAAGAAGCCCAGTCTCTATTATAAGCGTACTCCAAGAGGGCTTCGAAAATATGCATGTACACGCGCAGTCTCCAATATAAGCGCAGGGCTTAACAAGGTCACAGCCGGGGCGGGGCGGCTGGGGAGGCTGAGGCTGCCCCACTTTTTCGGCCGTTTTTTTTTTTTTTGGAGCACACTGCAACGAAGTGCGATGATCACAGCTCAGTGCAAACGTGGCAAATAAAGAAAAATTCTTGTCCCCAGTCGATCGTGGTTTGTTGCAGAATCAAAAAGTCTCTCATTGCAGTTACTCTGAAATGGCACCAAATGCCTGGAAATGCTTGCGATTGGCTTCAATTTTTGAAATTTTTTTCCCGGGGGATTGTAGCGTCTTCTTGGTTTGTTGCAGAATCAAAAGTCTTTCGTTGAAGTTAGCAGTTAGGGCGCGTTCAGACTACCGTGAATCCCATCAAACCGTGAATGGCGATAAACCGTGAAGGACATTCACACTACCGATAAACTAACGCTACCGGTACGTAAGTTTTGCACCTCTCACCGCGGCACTGAGAAGGGATTTTCCTTTTTTCCCCAGCCTGAGCACTCTTTTTACTGCTGGAAAAGTTTTACTGCCGCAGCAGCCGCGGCAGTAAGACTTTTCCGCCGGTAACGTGCCAGTAACGTCACGTGATCAAATCATCTTGGAAACTTTCCCATTCCGTCACTTTTTATCGGTAGTCTGAACGCGCCCTTACACTGAAATGGCCCCAAATGCCCGGAAATGCTTGCAATTGGCTTTCATTTTTGAAAATTTTCCCGCTGGGGGGCGGTCCCCCTTCCATGGTCACCCCACCTCCAAAGTTGGTGCGACGACGGGCCTGGCTTATAATGGAGAGCTGTATGGATCATGGCCATGCATGTTTGACGTCACACAGTATCACATAAACAGATGCTGTGGTAAAAGTCTGTGATCCCCGAGATCTAAAGTTCAGACTCAGTGTACCAGGAAGCACAAAATTGCAGTCCCGGTACTGCTGGGAAACTTTGTGCTACTGATATATTGAAAAAATCATAGGCAATGTACATGTATCAGGTGGTTGAAAAATTATAAGCCCAGTCTCTAGTAGAAGCCCAGTCTCTAATATAAGTCCGGGGTCCGGATTGATCGAAATATATATGTTGGACTCAGTAGAGCGTCCAGCCCCTATATGATGTCCAACCCCTATATAGAGTCCATTGGTCCAAAATCCACTGTACAGAGTCCAAACTTGAAATCAACTGTGAGCTCAAAGTTTCGATGGACATCACTCCCTGTATAGAGTCCAGCCAATTGGCTTCACCCCTATATAGAGTCCATTGGTCCAAAATCAACTGTACGGAGTCCAAACTTTGAAATCAACTATAAAGAGTCTTTATGTGGACTACACCCCCTGTATAAAGTCCAGCCAATTAGGCATCCCCTATCGAGTTCGAAAATAGACATAGGATCTGCTGTAAGCAGTGAATATTAACCAGAATGCGGTCTCTCCCTTTAATCCTTTACATCATTCACTTCTCAAGATAAAAAAATATGTATTGAGGCACCACTGCAGCCACTTCATTACATGAAAAACCCTACAAACACCATCCTCAAATCAAGTGGTCTCTTCGCAGACGCTGCAAATTACAATATCTCAATCATGTGGTGTTGCCAAATTATTGTGCACGCACACACACATGCACACACCCACACAACGCCAAGAAAATACCTAGAAAAAAAACAAGAATCGAAAGAGAATAATGGAGAGCCCAGGATTAATTATTTGTTTTCAAATTATTGTGCGCGCGCACACACACACACACACAAACACACACACACAAACTTATACAACGCCAAGAAAACACCAAGAAAAGAGTAGAGACACAATACACACGCAACTCCAACAGCCATGCAAACGTCCACCCATTTACATGTAAAGTCAAGAGGGATAACAAATAATTATACGAAACGAATGCGTACGGGGACGGGTACACGCACGTTTACATACACGTAGTAGTTTAAGAGAGTAACATAGTGCAGTGGTGAGCATAATACTAGCACATGCTGAGAGTGCAATAGCAAGCTTCACCATTGCTCATGGCCATGCAAATGTTCAGCAGCACTCAGTTCCGCAAGCTTCTGAAGATCAGCACACCTGCAACAAATAGATAGCACAAGGATACGCTTATTACCGTAATGATGCATGGGAGCACACAACTACCAAGTTCTCAACGAATGTGATGCTCAATGAAAATCAATCCACTCAAAGACCTGTGAACAGGTGATGGTGGGGACAATAATCTATTAGTAATATGAGGAATAAGATCGTTTGTGCACACTCAAGACGCACAGACACACCAACATACATGTAGTGTACACAGTGTTTCACTTCACTGCAACTAAATTGAAATGAGATGATTTGAACAATCTGTACAGCGTTGCTGTCAGTCAGTCTTCCCCAAGATGGAAATGCAATGATTTGTTGTCACGAGGCAGTTTCACTGACACAATGTCATGTTCGTGACATCAAAATGGTTACTTCAGGGAATACGAGTATTAGCAAGAGTGCATAAACAAGAGTATGCAACTGTGGTTATGGGTCAGTGCGTGGCGCGCTGCCTTCATTACGTAACTTGCCTTCATCACGCTCTGAAAGCATGCATTCAAACTCACAATTTCTCGTACGAGCCCATCTGTTTTTGCTCGATTCGTTCAAGTACCTACGCGATCTCTAAATTCTGGCGCGTGAACTCCAGTTCCGTACGAAAGTTCATTTCAAACCAGAGGAAGAGTGCGGTGTTTGATTTTCCGCAGTGCGCGGACAGCAGCTGAATGATGTAATGAAGGCAGCGCGCCGCGCATCTGGTCCATAGAAAAGAGATCACAGTTGCATACTCTTGTTTATGCACTCTTGGTATTAGCTTGAGAAGCTTTTTCTTGTCATTGGCATACAAGCAATCCTCCTAGTCCTACTACTACTAGTACACTGGCACTGCGTTTGTGGATCCCATTGTATTTGACATCATACTACAGGAAGAGTGTCGTGGAGTTCACATAATTATCACAGGGATAAAAATACATTTCTCATGAAATAAAATAATAATTGATGATAGCTAGACGATCATATACGATTGATGCAAAGTCCTTGCAGTCCTTGAGGACTATTACGAAGTGGTTGATTACTTTTAGGGCATTCATTCAAGCAACATCAAACAAACGCGATACGCTCCTTGAAAATGGAAAACAAATTCAAGCATAACGACAGAACAGCCCAGCAGACCAATCGAAACGAGTAAAAGCTTCCTTACCTCAGTCATCGTCCTGCCATGTAGTTGGACAGCCTTTTGACACGGTGGTACAGGCAGCTCTTGTCCAGTCAAACAGGGGTATCCTTGTGGCGTCGAACGGAAGAGAGTGTCAGTGTATCTGACTCGTCAGATTGCAACTGTGCTGAACTTTTCTCTTTCTCCGCTTTCTGCTTTCATCCTTCGCTCTGATGAAACCGTTCAAACGTCTTACTGGCAGCAATGGCCAGCCAAACAGGGGATCCTTGTGGCGTCGAACGAAAGAGAGCGTCAGTGTACCTGACTCGTCAGATTTGAACTGTGCTGAACTTTTCTCGTTCTGCAATTTCTGCTTTCATCCCGCGCACTGATGAAACGTCTTCAGAGAACCACAAGACGCTTTCCAGATTTGATTTTGAACGTCTCCTTATCCTCCTTGGTTAGCTCGAGACAGATTACTGTCAGCAACTGCACAGCAGAATTGGCAGCCATGGCTGAAGTGAAGAAAGGAATGCGCTGCCACGAGGCAAGCAAAACTGAAAATGTGTACTCTTTCGGGCACAACACACAGGACGGCGTGACTGGATAAACTGGACTCCTGGACCGTGAATAGGGGACTTGTAGAAAAAGTGTACTCCTTATAGGGGATTGCGCGGCAGGATGAAGCTGATCAAAACTGAGTGGACTCCTGGACTCTGTATAGTGGATTTTGGACCAATGGACTCTATATAGGGTGCTGGACATCATATAGTGCATGGACTCTATACTGAGTCCTACATATATACAGTCAACTTCGCTTATAACGACTGCGAATATAACGACAATTCGTGAATAACGACAGCATTTCCGTGCCCAGAGCAAAGTCCCTTCCAACTGTAATACATAATATATTATAATGAGACTTCGGGTATAACGACACTTCGCGAATAAGGACACTTTTTTGATGCCCCGCCGAGTGTGGTTATAAGCGAAGTTGACTGTATATATAAGCGCGGGGCTTATAATGGAGGTAATACGGTAATAGTATCTTGTGATGCCACGCTGATGTGATTTGTGGTCTCCACTTCCATGAGTGAATTATTAGCCAGTATCCGAAGCTTCTTCACTGGTTGTGTTCGCCTTTGTTTAGCTCACATGATGAATTCTGTAGGTACTGAGAAAAGGAATAGCTTTTTCGGCCATATGCTCTCATCCTCTCCCCCAGCGATTCTGCGGAAGAGAACCGAACAACAATGAGCAACCTCTACGATGGTATGTTCTCCTCAGAGGAGGCCAAGCAGTCAAAGGATCTAGGTAGTATCAAGATTGAAGCTGCGTTTACACAAAAATGCACGACCAGTTTTCCGCTTTCGCTCCCGCATTTCTTTTACCGTTTTTGTGCGTCTACACGATCAGAGCTGATCCGAGCTGGTCTCCGTTTGTATTCGCGCATCTGCACGAGAGCGAAGGATCCGCCAAAGTTGGCCATGTATCAAGTGTTGTTGTGGAAGTACCAATCACAGTCAAACACTCCATACAACACTTCTCACATGACCAACACTGTCAACACTGTCAACACTGTCAACACTGTCAAACCCTTTGTAATTCCTGGTGGATGCGCGAAAACGATACAAACGTGACGGTAACGAGGCCCAGCACACCGTTTCCAAATTTATCCAGCAGAACATTTCCGTTTTCAAATTCTTCCACCTTGGTCAGTGTTTTGGTATTCTTCCGTTTCGGTGCACACTTTTATACGTTTTGCTCCGCCTGCAGTGTAAACGAACCATGGATCCGAAAGGATTTGGTTGCGCTTTCATCCCCAGTGTTGTGGTGTGAACGAAGTCTGTGTAGTTAGCAACACGCATCTCCATACCTTGGCCTCAGATGTCATTCTCAAAGTCTGTAACTGCAAGGACTTGGCATCACAGTAACCAATCTCAGCTTGTTCACCCTCATCTGACATGCTGGATTCAACACAAACAACAGCATGCAACAAACATGCATGAGACAGAGAGAGAGAAAAAAGACAGGCAGGAGACGTACTAAATGGCATAAATTCCAGAAGCGCAAAATCGTGAGCAAGCACTAGTTGAGGGTAAGTGCCCACATGTGTTGAAATTAAGACCGTTTGTGCAGCAAAGCCAAGTGAGCCAACGGGGGTATGCGCCGAGTAGTGGTCTTGACCATTAACATGACCATTGCTAGTAGAAAGAAAGAGAACTGACCTCGCTTCTTCCCATCCTTGGTAAGCAGCAAGCAATGCCACATGATCACTATGCCGATCTCCAGCAAGGTTCTTGTGAACCCAACCTAAGCGACGTCGATCAGATGGCGTAATGAAAGGTTCTGGGAAGCAGGTACTTGCTGCTATTGTAGTCAATGCATCGCCACACCTAAAGCAGATCATAGTATTACAGCATCACAGCATCATATTGTCAAATGAGTGTGCCGGTCCCTTCACAGTCCATTCATAAAAAATAAAAATAAATCAAGGTTATATATATTTTCTAGAACACTAAGAAAGAACACAAACTTCAGGTTCAGGTCTCCAAGAAAGCTTTTTATTTAATTTATCTATTCATTAGTAAAGGTATATTCATAAGTTCGAGGGGCTTAAATAGATAGTATCGTGTTTTCCGGGGTGCTAGCCGTACCTGGAAGCGCATAAAAACCCCAAAATCGCCCCCGTGGCTTTAATATACTCCGAATGCTAGATGTGAATCAACCAGCGCTACAGCACTCTATGCTTATTATAATGCATGTATGGTGTCATTCAGCTACTTTTCATGTTCTGCAGTTCATCATTGTACTTGTGCGAAGCTTCTACACGTTGTCAGTTCTGAGTGATGGACAACCTAGGCAACTTTTTTAGAACTTCAGTCGTGCTTCTCAACTGTTTTACCATTGGTAACGTCTTGCACCCATACCCATTAGGCTAGGTTGCCAAAACATTCAAAGCCTGATGTGTGGCTTACACACCGAATGTCAACAAAAACACGAATTTTGGACCCGAAACAGGGGGTGCGGCTCAAGCGGGATCACAAAAGCTTTTTTTGCGATGCGATGGGCGATGCGACGCGATGTGGGATGGAGGTGTGCGATGTGAACTTGCGAAATACCATTCACAGAAGAAGTCAGCGATGCGACGACGCCTTGCTACACTACTCTGTGTACTCACTGGAACAAACAGCCCAGAATTAGCATCCTTCCAAGTCGCGGATCAATAGGAAGACGAGCCAAGATTGCACCAAGCGGAGTTAGAGAGTGCTGGCTATCCAAAGCATCCATTTCTAAACAAGAGCAACAAAACAAAACGAAACAACAACAACAACAACAACAACAACAACAACAACAACAACAACAACAACAACAACAACAACAGCAACAGCAACAGCAACAGCAACAGCAACAGCAACAGCAACAGCAGCAGCAGCAACAGCAACAGCAACAGCAGCGACAGCGATAGCAGCATGACCAGCAACATTAACAACAGCAAATCACTCTAGTATTACTAGTGCTACTGTATAAGTACAAAGTTTCGTTTGGAATTAACTTTCGCTATATTCGTTAGGGGGCACGAGATAACTAAAGTTTGTACCAAACTAAAGTGACCCCTTCTGAACGTTCGGGGTGACAACCCTCGACAGACCTCGACCAAAAACGAAATTTAGTACGTAACGAACCTGCTGGTGGAGTGATGTAACGAAAGATTAAGTGAACGAAAATTCGTACTTATACAGTATCCAGCACATCCGTTCCTAAACGTCATGGCACTTCGAATTGTCCCTAGAGGTGGATATACAAGCGAATATATTCTCTTTATCAGTCATATCACTCTCCTACATTGAAGATCTCAAATGCTTGCCAGTGGTTCTCCTTGTGTATGATTGTACGATTGTCATACTCCAGAGTGGGAACTGTTTGTAAGTGGCTACAGGACATGTACTTCTATCGACCTTTTTTATCAGAGATGAGGATGAAGCGTTTGGTCCAGACGCAGCATCTCTGCTAAACATGACATGTACAGGGGGGACTTGAGTCCAGACCCAGCAGCATCTCTGCTAAACATGACATGTACAGGGGGGACTTGAGTCCAGACCCAGCAGCATCTCTGCTAAACATGACATGTACAGGGGGGACTTGAGTCCAGACCCAGCAGCATCTCTGCTAAACATGACATGTACAGGGGGGACTCGAGTCCAGACTGCTACTGCACCTCTTACAGTACAGTACTGTCGGGTCCCGGGGCCAAAGCCAAAGAACGACCAGCTAGCTAGAATTGTACCAAGCAGTACAGCATACCAATGTACCGTAAAAGCCCGTAAATACGCCCACCCATAATATAACGTCCACTACCCGTGTACATGCCCAGGTGCCGTGTACCAACACTCTTGTCCCATTTTCTGGCCAACCTCTGTGTGAACGCCCATGGGCGACAGCACAGACCCAGTACACAGTGCAGTGCATGCACAGCTCCACGTGCATGCACTGCACTGTAGTAAGTTATACATAGTGTACAGCATACTGTGCTAACCTTATACGTACCTGTAGCACTACGACATGATGTGAAAATTAGTTTGATTTCACTTATCCGAAATAGCACCCGAGCCCACATTAGCGCCCATGCCCAAATTGACGCACATGTTCTTGACCTTCACTAACGTTTCCGCCCAGGGCCTTATTACGGGCTTTTACGGTATACAACACGGCGACTCCACTGTACATAGACTGTACTACATGAAGATAAGAACGGTCTGGGCTAGGAGGCCGACCCCCAGTTCTTCAGCGACCAACAGTACAGTACTCGTCAAGTGTGCAAACTGAGAAATGCAAAGTACAACTATGAATGTGAAAATCACACCATCAACCATGGGAGATGGCTAACAGGCTCTATACAACTCACCTCTCAGCAAAGTTACAGCCTCTTCAACCGTGTCAGCAGGAGGTGGCTCAAGAGCTTTCGACAGAAAGGGAGAGACTTCACCAAGACGGAGCAGCTTTATGCTTAGGGCCAGCTCATGCAATGGTGTGCGTAGTATTTCCGGCGTTGCATGCTGGGGCAGGCTGCAGATAGAAAAACCCATCAAAAACCCAGCAAAAACTACTTGTAAAAAATGATTAAAAACCCAGCACAAATTACTTGTAGAAAATGATTTTCAAGCACATGTGACATATTTCCTTGAAAAGGCACAGATTTAAAATCTTGTAGGACGCATCACGCAGCTTCATAAGTAAAATTTGGCTTGTGAGCAACACTGGCTCACACTCAATCACTGCTTTTCAAAAATTCATTTCAGATTTTTTTTCAATTCAACGTTTCGGTCATAAAATAACCATCATCAGGAATGAAGTGGGCACACCGGTTAGGATGCATATATGCCAACCTGGAGGCTTGAGTTCCCTGGACAACGAGGCTGAATTCCCTTGATTTTGACCGTTTTCCCTGGACACCAATTTTTTAGCGCATCCATCATTAGCAGATGTATTTTTCATGACTTCTGCTCAAGCAAAAGGAATATCATTGCATTGAGCTGTAACTGCACAACTAAACTTTCTGTTGACTGCCGTTATACCGGCGATCCATTGCAGTTCAACATGGTTTATTTCGTCTACTGCATGCTGTGTGTACGTACAACGGATCTACAAGTTCGAGGAAACACTGAAAAAGCGTATTCGCAATTTGTACTAGTATGTCCATAGTAGAGAATTCAGACCAGTGAGACAAGAGTTCTTAGAGGCCATTGTCTAAGTGAGAGAAGAATTCTTAGAGGCCATTGTCTAAGTGAGACAAGAATTCTTAGAGGCCATTGTCTAATTGAGACAAGAATTCTTAGAGGCCATTGTCTAATTGAGACAAGAATTCTTAGAGGCCATTGTCTAATTGAAACAAGAGTTCTTAGAGGCCATTGTCTAATTGAAACAAGAGTTCTTAGAGGCCATTGTCTAATTGAAACAAGAGTTCTTAGAGATCACTAAATAATGGAAACAAGAAATCTTGGGAGTACAGGTCCTTACTTTGAAAAACGTGCTCTGCTGCACATATGAAAGCAATAGCCTTCGCGTACACGACCAGCACGACCAGCACGTTGCTCGAGGTTGGTCCTAGATGCCCAGACCGTAGCATAGTTGGTCATGTTATTGTGCGATGTGAACACCTTTTGCTTCTGCCTGTCAACAACAGAGACACAGAAAAAGAGACTTGCACTTTTGTAAGAGAAAAAGTGCAATTTGAAATCTGTCTGTATAACTGAAATGCAACTGTTGCTTGTCATACGTGGATCTACATGCGGAAATACACACAACATCCTATCAAACACAGCAGATTTGTGATTAAGTGAAAACACTGAAAACCAGGGATTTGTAGCATGTACAGTCCATTCACCGTCAAATCTAGGCCAATAGGTTTTTCACAGTCTCACTTCATTCTTATTCAAGATCGTAAAGTCAATGACTTATAGGTTTATGGTAGCCAAAGATGAAGTGAATCCTGTGAAAATAGAAAAAAACTATAGGCGCACTCATATCACAATCATAAAAAATAAAATAAAAATTTCACGGTTCGCGTGAGACTCGGCTGAAATCCGAGTTTTCCGCATCCGCAGGAACGCCATCACCCTCTTGGATCAAGGCGCAGATGCAGCTCTTATGATCGAGAAGCAGAGGGTACCAGGTTCAAGTCCTGCTTGGAAGCGGAAGGATTTTTTCCAGCCGTGCTGCGACCCACGGTTAATTGGGAACTAGTGGCCTGGCACGAGGGAAGCATGGGTGCAGTGAATGGGATTCACAATCATAGCAACGAATAAATTGTTCCAGAATGTTTTCTCGTCACAATTATCAATGGAAACTCGTGACTGAATATACCGTAAAGTACCGCAAGAGCGCCCCGTCTCGCGAGAGCGCCCCACCTTGATTTTACAGCCAAGGGAAGAAAATCGTATGGCAGAATGCTGCCAAGTTTGTACGGTGCGAGAACCTTCGTGTACTAAGGTCACACTCGGCATGTTTTTATGGGGAGCGCTACAGTCCATTCAGAAAAAGATGGACTTCTAGCTTTTGGCCATAAATGGGTCAAACTTTGAGTTTTTTTAGAATTTTTTTTCTGCAATCCCTTATGGAATCCTCTTCCAATTATGTTTCTGAAGTTTTTTTGTCCAAAAAGCAAGCCATAACAAGAATAGAATTTCGGCCAGGTTTTGCCCCAACAGCACTGAATTGGGAAAAACCATAAAAATCCAGGCCGTTTGACCCTGCCTGCAAACGTGCATTGTGCGGTTCGAACCCCAGTTCAGGTACCCTTTTTGGACCCTTTTTCAAATTTCAAATTTCGCAGCACTGCACTCTGTACGATGAAATCACGAAAAATCGCCAAATACGGGAGCTCGCCAGAGCCAGAGCCCATCTTTTTATGAATGGACTGTAGATCGAGCACGTCTCCGCTCGAAGGTAAACTGGGTACGGAATACTACGAATTGACTGCACAACGTGCAATGTGTGTACACGGCTCGTATCGTATGACCTACAGACAGGAAACCATCCCCACAAGACGACCACGAAAGGACGAGATGGTGGGGCGCTCTGGCGGTACTTTACGGTAATATCAAAATAGCAATAGGATTTATACTGACTTGGAGTGACAAAAACAAGGATACAAGTAAGAAAGTAGCACATAATTGATTAGAAAATGTTGAAAACGTTCTGGAACAATTTATTCGTTGCAATGATTGTGATATGAGTGCGCCTGTAGTTTTATTCATTGCATTATAATGTCAAATTTGGACTTCACGGAGAATTTCAAAGTACAGTAAAACCTGGTTTAAGCGACCACCCCACGGTGCAAGGAAAAGCGGTCATTAAAGACAGGTGGTCTTTAGAACCAGGTCCCACAGTGTGTGTGTAGAACTGTTCGTGCATGGAAAAACGGTCGTTAAGAGCAGCTGGTCGCTAAAACGAGAGGTCGCTTAAACCAGGTTTTACTGTACTAGGGAATTTTAACTCGGATACTGAGCCAGTAATTAATGTAAAAAAGATCATCGTCCTGTAACAGTCGGCATTCTTTGTTGCCGTGGGTCTTAGCTTGTGCACATTTTCGCTGCGCTCACCTTCCCCTCGTTGGTCCTACGTAGCCATGAACCTTCCAAGTTGGAAGGCTATTGGTTTGCGCACTGGAGATGTGTTAGAGCTAGGTTTCAGGTCGCTAAATGTCTCAGTAGCCTGTCAGTTTTGCGCCCTATTATCGCACGTTCTGACTCTTTATCATCTTGTTACAGTTGTGGATAGTTGCTGCATAATTCGTTCTCATGTGTTTTCTTCCCTTTAAAAAAAATGTATTAGGAAATTAGAGGCCACATGCCTCGTACTGCTATTTTCTCTCCGAAACTCAACACTTGCAAGCCAGATACGGAAGAAAGAAAAAATCATCAGTCACACCACTTGGCCTCGAACCAGGGACCTTGCTATTCGCGATTCCAACGTACCACGTGATGGTCATATGCTCTACATGTCGCTAACAACCTACTGTACAACACACAGGACTGGCTTTGGCGCTACGAGCTTCACATATGGTATGGTATTTTGACATAGTTTTAGTGTATCAGGAGCCCCGATTTGGTGAATGGACTGTAGGAAGACAACATGGGTGACTGCAAGAGTACATGAAAACCAGAGTGTGCAGCTTGGGGCCTCTTCTGCTATGGGTGTCTGTCACGGCGGAATTCCGTGATTACATCATATTTGGCGCAGATCTGAGGCGGGAAATGGCGTAGTGCGTACAACTGAGCTGCAGTTGTGCAGAAAGAGACCTGCTTGAATCCTGCTTGTACGCACTACATCACTAAAATGATGTAATCACGGAATTCCGCCGTGACAGCAACACATCCGAGCTGCACACTCTGGTTTTCATGTACTCATGGTGACTGGAGCATGAAGCGGTGCTGGTTTCGATCCGCACTGCCTGTTCCAGTCACCGTGGGGCTGGGCCAATTCAAACAAATGCGCATATGGCACTGTTAAGCCAGGTCGAGTTTGGGGTCAGCAGGTCAAGGCCGCGATCGCGAGTTGCACAGACCACGGATAAGGCCGAACTTCCAAACCCTGGATCGAAACACACATCGTTCAGGGTATTATGGTCTTGTGCCGTCTCCCTAGATGCTACAACTACTTGGTGAAAGGTTACCGGATCTTGATCACTGCCAATCTGTGAATATTTAAAAAGTAGAGATTTTTTGTCACGGTCAGGCTTTCGCCAAAATCCATACTCATCTGCAAACAGAATCGGCAAAATGTGAATGCGCAATAAGGTTAAAAACAGCGAAAGTATAAAGATAAGACTCTCTAATCAATGATCAATGAAAGCATAAAGATAAGACTCTCTACTCAACTGCCAGTGCATTTTTATATATTTTTTCATTTTTCCTACGCGAACCGTGATTTTTTTACTTCAATAACACTGCCCCATGGGGACAGGGAAAACGGGAGAACATGAAAAGGACAACAGAGAACAATGGGAAGGTGGGTGCTACAGGGGGAGGACAATAGAGAGCAATGGGAAGGTGGGTGCTACAGGGTAGCCATGTTGATGAGTCTGGAGGCACTCTACTGACCATTGCTTACTCTCAGGCATGACCAATGAAAATGCGATGCATGTGTGCGAGTTTGTGTATGCATGATTTTGCGTGTGGTCTATTTGCAATTCAGAAAAGTTACACATCACCCGGTCAAAAAATACAAGAATCAGTAGACTGACTCATGGTAGACGCTTGTATGTAGGAACCAACCAAACAAACATGATTTCTTCACTTACTTGCAGCAGTCGATGACGAAGACTACATCATCTATCGTAATGCTACTTTCAGCAATGTTTGTTGACAAGATGACCTGTGAGGATGCAATGTACAGGTACAATAGATAAATATGCCTTGTATGAGACGTGTTACAATAGATCCGGGAACAAACGGAGAGGAGCAGGCTCCTACCGCAAAGGTGCATGTCCAAACACGTGGGATTTAGTGGAGCAAGTACAGGTGTGCGGGGCCCTTTATATATGCACCACTCAGACACCACTCAGATACCACTCAGACACCACTCAGTGATCAGTCACGTCTCCATGACTCTATTGACTCCATGACTACTGACTAATCACAATCCCCCGTCACCAGTCAAACAGTCACAATCCCCATAGAGCAGTCAAACAGTCACACACTTGTAGCTAGAGTCCGGTGCACGTGCGCTCCTCTCCAAAACGAAAGGTGGTCAAATATCTCCCAGGCTTCAGATATAGAATCTTTTTGGAGAGGACATTTTAGCTAGTACTAGTAGATAGTAGTTTTCATCATCTTCAAAGAACAGACTTCACTGAAGGCTATTTCGGAATATTTTCAGTCAGATAATTTTTTGGCATGACGACCATGGTAGAGCAGAGACTGATTTCAACTGATCCAGCATACAATCAGTGCTGGCTTTGTGCTATTGGAGAGGATGGGACCAACTATGATAATAATGGAAATGACAATGACAGAGATGACATTGACAACCGCCCCCCCCCCCCCCCCCCCCGCCCTTGATACTTGAAGTAGTGGACACAATCAGAAATGGATAAAGAAAAAGAAAGGTTAACCTTAGTGACACCAGGTGGTACTGGCATGAAGACACGATGCTGATCTTCACGAGGAATTTGTGAATGCAATGGCAACAAGCGATAGTTCCGACCACCTGCAGACGATTACAATGATGATGAAAGCAACGTCATGATAGCAACAAAACGACAGCAGCGGCAGCAGCAACAACAGAAGCAGCAGTAGCAGCAACGACAGCAGCAATGGCAGCAGCAGCAGCAAGAACAGTAACAACAATGTCAGTAATATTAAAAGCAGTAAAGTCTTACTAAAGAAGAATTGTACAAGCAGAAATATTGGTCAGGAATTTAATTTTGTCAGTTTTGTCCAAAGAATTTTCAGATTAAATTTAACTTAATGTCGATTTGCCTAGCCTTTCACAATGTTTCAACATACATGGTCGAAAATTTCCACCAGATAAACTGTCTTTCTTTGGAGTTGGACGACGAAATTATTCATCGACTAAATCCGCTTACCGTAATGTCGCGTATAAAAGCATGACTGTAGTCCATGCTACACGAATGCATCACTAAAAAAAGACTGTAGTCCATGCTACACGAATGCATCACTAAAAAAAGACTGTAGTCCATGCTACACGAATGCATCACTAAAAAAAGACTGTAGTCCATGCTACACGAATGCATCACTAAAAAAAGACTGTAGTCCATGCTACACGAATGCATCACTAAAAAAAGACTGTAGTCCATGCTACACGAATGCATCACTAAAAAAAGACTGTAGTCCATGCTACACGAATGCCTCACTAAAAAAAGACTGTAGTCCATGCTACACGAATGCATCACTGCATGCAAGGTGTAGCAGGTGCTTACGGGCCGTATGCCGGGCTTCAAACCATGCTTCTATTCAAGTTATGAATCTATTCAAAGCGTGCTTGGAACCTTGCATGCAGTGATGATGTATGCAGTAGTCAATACTAACTCCTTTTTGTTTTAAATATTACGATGTGCAACGCCAAAGAGTGATTGCATGTCACGATGTAAAAGAGTAATGCGAGCACGTGAATTACAATTCGCAGAAGTCAGCAAAGGTGATGTCGATTTGACGACTTTCCCAGAGCACAATATACCATTGTGGGCGTACGAATCTTAAGCATTTCCATAGCTGCGAACAACTTGTACAGATAAACAAGCAACTCTTGAGCGAAGCATACGACTTTGCTGCAAAACAAGGTCTGCATTGCAAATCGGACCGCGAAAGTTGAGCCAATCTCAAAATTCTCCAACCAGTTACGGTTGCTGCATTAGCTCATTGCGTAATCCTATATTTGGGAGAGATGATGTAATCGCGTGCCGTGGCAAAGTGCCGAGTTGTGGGCAAAAGTCTTTGCCCGCAACCGGTTAACCTCTTCCTTGCCAAAGAGTTTGTAAAAATTTATTTTGATTGTTTGGTGCAGTGCTTTTTTTCTTGTTCGTGTCTTTAGTTCAGTTTTGTACATTGTACATGTAGTACCGTATGTGATGGCGGCGACTGGGTTTGATCCCGATGGCAGCAGCGATTCTTCTCTGTCAGGAGACGATGGTGACAAGCCTAGAGTCACTGGTACATGTAGCTACTGTTGTGTTCCGTTGTGCAAATCTGAGTATGGAAAACCAAATTCACCAAAGTTCCATGACTTTCCAACCGATCGTGCTTTGAAGTCTGCTTGGCTACATGCCATTCGTCGTGATGAAGGGAAGCACTTCAAGGTGAAGCCGAAAACAACAAAAGTTTGCGGACTACACTTCCAAGAAAGTGACTATCGTGTTGTGAGTGATCGTGCTTTGAAACGAAGACAAAAGGAGGGAAAGGGTGGCAAACCTCGACCGCGCTTGGTACCTGGAACAGTACCTACCGTCTTCTCGTTCCATAAATCAGCGACACAGGGCCCTTCGTGAAAACCACCAGCTAAGCGGGTGTTCTTGAAGCCGGTTACGTCAGACTCCAGTTCGAGTGACGAAGATGCTCAGGCAATGGTTGTGGATGACGGTGAGGGCAGCCACCAAGACGACTCAGTGGATGAGTTGGAGAGACTCAGGCAACAAGTAGCAGAATTGAACTTGAAAAATGAGAAGCTTGACTTAGAACTGCAGTCCGCTAAGTCGTCTCGGGATGTGAGTGTGGGTCTTTGCTCCAAACTGTGGAAAGAGCAAAAGACATTGGAAGAGGAACTCAGGCAGACAAAGGAAAGCCTGGTCCTGCACAAATTTGACATCCGTAGGTTCTCTGAGAAGGCCCACATGGTGAAGCTCTACACCGGCTTCACGTCATTTGACATGTTTATGGCATGTTTTCGCTATCTGGAGTCAGACGCTGCTGAGATGCGAGCTTGGAAAGGATCGAGGACGAAGCTTGATGGTGAGCGACTCGGGAGAAAGAATGGTCCATTGCCTAAACTCAGCCTGGAGATGCAATTCTTCTTTGTATGTGTCAGGTTACGGCAAGGACTCGTGTTGGACGATCTGGCAGATCGATTCAAGGTGGACAGTTCAACCCTGTCAAGGTACTTCACATCATGGGTGAATTTGATGTATGTGACCTTTAAAGAATTGCTGGTGTTCCTGTCTCGTCGGCGTATCGACAAAGACATGCCCAAATCTTTCAAGATATACTACCCCACTACTAGAGTCATTATTGACTGCACCGAGTTTTTCATCGAGCGGCCGTCCCGTCTGTCCACCAACAATGCAGCATTCTCCGCTTACAAAAATCACACCACGTGCAAGTCCCTTATCGGAATCACTCCTAACGGAACTATCAGCTTTGTCTCCACGTTGTATGAGGGGTCAATCTCGGACAGGGATATAGTCATTGACTCGGGCTTCATCTCACTGATGGACCATGGTGACTCAGTCATGGCGGACAAGGGCTTCAACATCCAAGACCTCCTTGCTCCATACGGTGTCCGGCTGAATATTCCACCATTTAACACCAAGGCACATCAAATGCTCCCCCAGGATGTTGTCGAAACGAAGTCCATCGCTGCTGTAAGAATTCATGTGGAAAGAGCCATCAACCGCATCAAGCAATATCGTCTTCTGGATGGTGTCATTGACAACAATTTATTTGATATTCTTGAGCAAGCTGTCTTCTCAGCGTGTGTTTTATGCAATTACCAACCCACATTGGTTGCTACCTGATATGGTCTCGATGTCAATACAATTTTCACACCTTCATTCATAAATCGCCCTGTCCTGTTGAACAATGTACATAATTATGTAAATAAGCGAACATTTTTATATTATCACAGACATAAACGGTGGTGTTCCCAGAAACTGTATTATTTAGGTGCAGCTGTGCGCATTATTCTTTCTATTTGCTGCGTTGAGAGCGTTGTCATTACTCTGTTCTTTCTGGTTTTGGCACCACCCCACACCCTATTATTTGATCATTATTGTATTTCGTCACCTACGGTGTTCTAAGCTGCCATTCCTTTTACTAGTGCTTCCTATTGGCACATCCATTAAACCAGTCCCTTACCCAGCCAGTACTCAGACGCCTACAAATCGTGTTCAGTACTCCACAAGTACAGTGTATTAATTTTGATGATTGAATAGAAAAACAATCACTTTGAAAGAAGATTGTGAGTACTCCACGAGAACTAACAGTGTATTTTATGATTGAATGGAAAACAAGAACTTTGAAAGAAGATTGTGAGTTCTCGAATAGTGCTATGGTGAAGTCTCTCTCTCTCTCTCTCTCTCTCTCTCTCTCTCTCTCTCTCTCTCTCTCTCTCTCTCTCTCTCTCTCTCTCTCTCTCTCTCTCTCTCTCTCTCTCTCTCTCTCTCTCTCTCTCCCTCTCTCTCTCTCTCTCTCTCTCTGCTATTGGCCTGGTTGTGATGAAGCCGAGACCCAAGGTCGGCAGAGCATCCCAGACCACGCCACCACTCCCCTTATTCATGGCTTACACATGACGGGTTTACGTGGCTCTAGTAAAAAAAATAGTAACTAGGAAAAGAAAGTTCGAAAGAAGTCCAGTGTTGACATTAAGAACAACATCACATTAGAGCAGCATGAATGGCCGGAAGGTAATGCGAGAAATAAAATTTCTCCAGTCGGGGCAGAAACTCCTTCACAAGGGAATGATCAGCAGCGACAGTTTCCACAAACAGACCATCTGGAAACCATATGACAAAGTCGGCAGCCTCCACACCGCAAACATACATCTGCGTTTGAACTTGGTAGTAGTAGGTGTGCGTTCGCTTGAGGACCAAATTGCCATCAACATCCGTCAAGCATGAAGTCTGCTGTCCAGCAAACTCACGAAGCGACATACCATTCCGCATGGTGAAAGGACACTTGATCTCCACCACACGCTGCAGTTTGCCATTGACCATGACGAGACCATCAGGCGAAGCACTAAGCCATGGTTTGGTTGGATGGATGAAAAGGCCACAGGATTCGACGACAACAGGAACATCCGAAGTCTGTGCACGTGTGATGTAGGCTTTGACAGCATCACATTCATGCGCTAAGCCATACTTCATAGCCGCTGTAGGATGCTGCGGTGGAGCCAATTTCCTGTTGATGATGGTGGAGAAATCATCACTTCGTCGGCTTGCAATACTCTTAACAAGTGTTGCAGTCACTCGTAGTCGCCGCTCGTTGTACCAGGAGAGGTTAGTTGACTGTCCCTTCGTCTCCCTTGCAATTTCAGCTGCACGGGCACTGGACACAGCAACACGGTGTTCATAAAAATCAGCAGGCGATTCCGGATCAATAGCGGCCATAGGCACAGGCGCTTCAGAAGAAGACTCTGGTACACCCATCTGGCGCTCACTGTCTGACTCACTGCTGCTGCCCTCGTCACATTCCGAGTCATCTGAGCTTGGGACAGGAGAAGGTTCAAGTAGCTTTAGCCAACATGAGCTGCCATACATCTTGATCTTTCCTGATTTGTCCTCTGCCAGAGCCTTCTCCTCAACGCGCTCCAAGTCAGTACGCAGCCTGGCAACTGCCTCAGGATTGACGAATCTGCGGTTTGTAGGCCTGGGGTCATAAAACGGGATGCTCTTTTTCTTTTCTACAAGATCTCTGCCTGAATACGTGTCCTTCTTCAGGTGGACTTCCGTTACTCTGCTGGCCTTGACGCGTGCTGCTCGGGGCTGATTCCATTGCATCAGTTTCTCAGTACACGTTTTGGCTGCCTCTTCACGCAGGCCAAGCCTTACAAAGTCCTCCAATGCATATAATAGGCCCGCTATGTGGTTACAGGAACCAGCTAACCCAGCAGGGCATGTGCAATAGGCAGTGAGAACCGTAGGGACATGTGACACACCGCCAGCAGTGCAGCATATCCGAACGTTGTATTTCCTGTCCTTACGGAAAGAGGGCAGGACGACGCAGCGGACAAAACAGAATTGTGGAAAGACAGGCAGTGAATTGAACTGGATCTTCTGGATGTGGCCTGACTTGAAGAACCTGAACCCTTTGTCTATTCCACGGAACGAGCTGTACTTGGCTGTGCCTGAATCACCAACCTCCTCGTCATCCTCCCCATCATCATCCTCCCATTCGTCATCAACTTCAGCAGCGAGAGCACTATCAGCAGCGGCAGCACTATCAGCAGCGACAGCACTATCAGCAGCGACAGCACTATCAGCAGCGACAGCACTATCAGTAGAATCACTGGCATGTGAAGTAGCAGGAATAGCAGCAGTGTCGTCACCTCTTGCAATCTCTTGCCCACTGATGACTTCCTGGACCGTCCGCTCTGTGAAATGCACATACAGGGTTCGGAATGAGAATGATGGCAGCTGACTTAGATTATCCTTCCATCCCTCGGTGGGGAACGGGGGGACACTTCTTAGATTGGGGTGCACGACACCTGCGGACTTCAGACGCTCAGCTTTAGCAGCAATGTTTACACCACCATCAGGGTCAACAATTTCATGTGCCAAGCCACCACGTATGTAGTCTTCAACTCTGTTGAACACAAAGAACAACACCCAAAAAACGAAATAAATTTCAAAATAGAAAACATTGACAACCGAAAAAGGAAAATAATGATTATGGGAGGATATGTGGGATAATTCCTAACTAAAGGCGAAGTGACATAAAACCCAAACAATGTTACTTCCCGGTTCTACTCACTACATGTATTACCATACCGTCTTGCAAATAGGTCTAAAGAAAAATCCCAGCACAAATCTCACCTTTTCAGCAATTCAGGTTTCGTTCCCGATCGACGAGCATTACGGCAAGCTAGCCAACGCTTCAATTCTTTCACGGAAAGTTGACTTGCCAAGCGTTGAGAGCCATCAGGATTCCGACCTAACGATGCTCCAGGCACATCGTCCTCGGAGAGCTTCACAGCCTGCGTCTCCATCTCCGACAAACAAAAGACTACGAAAAGTGTTCCTTTACTTGCAGAAGCAGCTGACACGGCCTAGATTTGCTTCTGCCCACAACTCGGCACTTTCCAGGTTGGTCGCGTACGCATGACATCATTACGCAATGGGCCTATGAGCTGTGCTGAGGGAGTTTCCCCAGTTTCACAGTAATCAGCTACTGTAGTGACGCACATAAAGGCCCATGCGCTTATGAGTGAGTTTTGTGTGTTTTGCTATATTTTGCGGGTCGTTTTGTCTCACACATAGGCGCATGTGCTTGAGTTGCTAGTGTACCAATACCTCGTATAATAATACAAATAGTGCGATACCGCACTGCACATTAAACTATGTGAACATGGTGTTTTTGTGGTGCCCGTACAGGGACTAATTTAACCGATATCGCATGCAGTTTGCGACGCAAAACACAGTGTCTGCAATTCGAAGTTCGTAGTGAGTCGCGGTAAACTGCGACACAACATACATGTTAGTATGGCCCTGGAAATAGACTTGTAGTGCACGCGTAGCGCATGCACATGTGTAGCTTTACAGTGTGTGTGGCCGGTTAGGCGCCACGAGGCGGCGTGGCAAGCACTGTGACTAGATTAGACTGTGTGTGTGTGGTTGTCCAGCCTGCACTGCAGGTAGATTCTACACGATACGCACGCGCGGGCCGCGGGACCATGTCCATATGTCGCACTTTCTCCGCGCGCGCGCGCGCGCGCACTGCAGCACATGCACTTGGAAACTAACTAACTTACTTGAAGTGCAGCCCAGGAAGCACGAGGCGAGTGTCGACAAGTACTTCCCCTGATTTTGAGATTTATACCGCGTTTCTTCACTAGCAGTAGGCGTCTCGACCGTTCAGGACTTATCTTTGTAAAAATTCTGCTTGCCTTATCGATGAAGCCTCTTCACTGCCGACATGTCTGTGAAGCAAGGTACTGTGGACAAGTGGATTGCTGAATTTGATCCCAAAAAAGAATGGATTTGCGCAGAGTCGAGTGGTGGAGCTGTGACCAAGATATTTTGCAAGATGTGCAGGGAGAAGGCGTCCTCGCTTCGTGGTTTGAGGAATTACAGCACGGCGTTCGTTGACGGTATAAGTGGAAGTGCACTGAAGAAGGACAACGTTCTATCCATCTATCCGTTGTAAGACCCGCATTTCTCTAGAGTCTTCTTCTTCTTCTTCTTCTCCTCCTTCTTTTAACCATGATATGATGTACTTGTTCGGATTTCAAGTTCCATGTTGATGGCATTGTTGACGGAAAAAACTACTATGCAAAATTGTTGCGTTGCTATGCAAACGTCGGGGTGTGTAGCAATTATTGCTACGCAAATTTTTTGAAGTAAATTAGTCCCTGTCGTATGTCGCGGGATGGAATTGAATTTAGGTTCACTTATAAGCCCATGCGCTTAGGGTGTGCTTATGCCCGGGTATAGGCACATGCGCTTATATGCGCGTCACTACGGTATGCTGAGGAAGGTTCCCCAGTTTCACAGCAATCAGCTGTGCTTAGGGAGGTTCCCCAGTTTCCCAGTTTCACAGCAATCAGCTATGCTTAGGGAGGTTCCCCAGTTTCCCAGTTTCACAGCAATCAGCTGTGCTTAGGGAGGTTCCCCAGTTTCACAGCAATCAGCTATGCTTAGGGAGGTTCCCCAGTTTCACAGCAATCAGCTATGCTTAGGGAGGTTCCACAGTTTCACAGCTATCAGCTGTGCTTAGGGAGGTTCCCCAGTTTCACAGCAATCAGCTATGCTTAGAGAGGTTCCCCAGTTTCACAGTTTCACAGCAATCAGCTGTGCTGAAGGAGGTTCCACAGTTTCACAGCAATCAGCTGTGCTTAGGGAGGTTCCACAGTTTCACAGCAATCGCATCACAAAACTCCTTCTGTGAATCTCGCTTTATTCCAATATTTCAGTGCCGGGTTTCATAGATACATTTCCACGTTCCTATAATTCTAGTGCATCTCCGTTCTTGGTGATGGTAATAAATTAAAATAAATTTAGGGCTGAAACGATTATACCAATTACTCGGTAAGCGATCGATAATTCCTTATCAAGTAATCGGAAAAAAAGGTTTCAGAGCAGACTCGCTCTCTTCCCATTCACTCTGCAAACTCGAACTCATTTCTCAATCAATTTTTACAACGTTTCGGCAAAATTGCCCTCATCAGGTATGCGAGTTTGCAGAGTGAATGGGAAGAGAGCGAGTCGGCTCTGAAACCTTTTTTTCCTATGAATGAAGCTGCAGGAAGCCTCACCACTGCTACTAAATCAAGTAATCGTTACGTTATAGATTACTCGTTAGGGATTTTGAGTCAAAAGTACTGAAAGTCTGAAACCCCTCGTTTTGTGAAGTTTGAATCAGTATCCGCTGTGAGTATGCAGTTGCCCAGGGCATGGTGCATATTCTGAGGTTAAATTGACTTCAAAACTGCCATGTTTCGGAGCTACCCAGTCACTAATGCAGATTTTTGGTATTATGAAGGCCTAGTAGGCTAGCTTTTGGAAACAGAGCAATTTTTGCACAAAATTCTGACACTATTTGCTAACGATTACAATCGATTAATCGATCGTTAAGGGGCCGTCCGTAAATATCGAACTTTTTTCACCAAACGAATTATTTTAGTTTAGACCCAACCCCTCCCTCCCTCCCCCTCAGAACGTAAAAAATGTTGATATACATGCATATACAACGGCCATGTACATGAATCAATGTTTTCTGAAACGAAATTGGTCAACCTCCTCCCACCCCATAACGAAATTATTTCGTTTTGTGAAAAAAGTTCGATATTTACGGACGACCCCTAAGCTAAAGAGTAATCGATAGGTGAAAATACACGATCGTTTCAGCCCAAGACTAATAATTACTGATGTATGATGAGGAAAACGTTGCGCCAGGCACTCTCTTGTTACTATACAATACTTACCAAATGTAGGGTGTTGGCTCAAATGCCGGTGCATGGCAAAAATCAAGTTCCAGCCGGGCAGAAAGATGAGAACAGCACCTTTGTCTTCTAAGGTTGAGAAGTACGTGAGCAAAGCCTAACACATACACATACACATGCACATGCACATGCACATACACATACACATACACACACACAAACACACAAACACACACATACACACACACACACACACACACACACCCACACACACACGCATGCTCACACCCACATACACCCACACACACACACATGCGCGCGGATGCTCAGTGCACACAAATACCCAGATACATGTACATGAACTTCTACATATACAGAGAAAAAGTCGTTCATTTCATACACAGGCTTGCATGGCACTGGAGGAGAGCAGCAGAGAACAATAGTCGGTCATACTGAACGAAGAATGGAAGGCAGTTGCCTACTAAGTGAAAGCAAACATAACTCCTGTACACAGTGAAAATAGATTATACCACTAGGATGCAGTACGTACTTCAATCAGTTCAAAGGAAATTTCACGCTCACTAAGAGCTGCCATTGCTTGTTGAGTTTGGGCTGAATAGGAGCTGCGATCAATGACCAAGTTCATGTTTTCCTGAGTCGCCAAGAAGAACACAGCATGGACAGACATAACACAGACAAGTTAATGCATGCACGCATAAGCGTGTGTGCCCATGCACGCACGCACGCGCGCGCGCGCACACACACACACACACACACACACACACACACCACAAACACACACAAGCATGTGCGCACACACACACACACACACACACATGCACACACATACACATATGCATGCATGCACACACACACCACATACACACACAAGCATGCGCGCACCCACACACACACACACACGCGCGCATGCACGCACACACACACATGCAAACACAAAACACGTTCATACCTGTTCATTAGCACACGTGCACTATGTAAACACAGATGTGCATGCACAGACACAAACAGTAAAACTCCCCTCATCCGGGTAGGTTGGGACCGAGCGCTGCCCGGAACTACAAGTAGGACAACATGCTTACTGCATGCAAGTACTAGTAAACATTTTTTTATGCCAATCAATAGTTGTTGGGTTATTTTTCGTTGAAAAGCCAACTTTTGTGACTGCAGATGGTCCAGAAAGGTGCCCTGTAGACGGCGGATGCAGACGTTGGCGGGATTAGGGGTGTCTAGAAAAGGGTAGTTTACTGTATGTGTAGACAATGACATGTACATTTGTGATCATCATCGGGGACGCGGCGGGATTAATGCTGTGCTCAATGCCTGTGCTCAACATGTACTCACATTGCTTCATAAAGCCAATGCAGAATACACGTAGCATAAATGATTGTGTTGAATGTACATGTATGATGTATCTACAACTATTACAGTACTTGGAGTCGTGTTGCGTGTTGGATAGTCGGCCAGAGAGCGCGTGTGGTGGTGGTGGAGGTGGAATTGCTACATGTACATGTACCATACTGATAATTCAAACCTCGATTTTGGAGAGGAACTTCTGATTAACCAAAACGGTATGCTGAACCCGATATGTATGTCAAATTGCAGCAGCAGCTCTGAGCACACTGAGCCCACTGAAAAACACACGTGCATTGATTTCATTGCTGTGTGACGCGCACCATCGTGCTGGTACAGCAGTGGCTGGGCGGCTTCTGGGCACTTCTTCGAGCCACGTGGTCTTTCAAACTGTTTCTCATTTTCGCACTTTGGTGTCATGCACCTGGGGTTGTGTTCTGGTGACATCCTGTCAATAAACGGTTACGCTTCGCCGATTTTTCGAAAGGACTCCACGCTTTTCAGAGGTTCAAAAGCCTGTCAGAACAATGGACGACACTGTGGCTACCCTATGTAGGGGATAGATCACTGACATGTTTGTCTCATGCCGACAGAAAGATCATGACAAGAACACAAAAAAAGCAACGAAGGTTTTCTTAACGGAGGAAGTATATCAGATTCTACACGTACTCAAGTAGCTGCACACAGACAACACAGTCATGGCCGTATTCACACCAGTAGGTAAAGTTGCCTTTTTGTTCTTTTGTGGCTCTAAGTGAGAGCATACAGCCATGGACTCTTGTAAGGCCGAGTTCTCGATGCCAGTGCGAAGGTAGGTGCAAGCAAAGACCACTCCAACAAGAACAAGAATTTCGTCGATCGAGCCTCAGGTAGGACCACATGAGGTCACATATGCTTGACTTTGCCAGCGAAGTTGCATGAACATGCTTACATTTACAATTGAAGAGGAACAACAATAACAACGAAAACGACAACGATGGCGACGGTGACGACTCTTATTGGCGCGAGTCGCCACCGTGAGAATAAAGAATAATAATATTATGAACACAGAAAGAGAAAAAGGACCTATTAACACGCATGCACTCGCTATTGCAGACCAGTGGAGAGCACACATCATATGGAGGATTCATGGAGTGCTGGGCAACCGAATCTGGCATGTGATAATCATGTAGGATAGTCCACGCACGAGGTACAGCCCATGAAATGGGCACCCATGAACTGGGCGGAGTGTGGACGGCCTGTATGATAGTGTGTATGTATGTCCACGCACAAAGTGCAGCCCATGAGATGGGCGCCCATGAAATGGACGGAGTGTGGACGGCCCACGCACACGAGGTGCAGCCCATGAAATGGGCACCCATGAACTGGGCGGAGTGTGGACGGCCTGTATGATAGTGTGTATGTATGTCCACGCACAAAGTGCAGCCCATGAGATGGGCGCCCATGAAATGGACGGAGTGTGGACGGCCCACGCACGAAGTGCAATGCCCGTTAGGAGGCAGGAGTGTGGGAGTATGAGTGTGATGGCCGAAGGCCGTGATAATTGCCAGATGAGAGGAGATAGCTGGCCCATGGTTGCCCAGCCTCCATGCTAAGTTGTGACACATTGCAATGCACGTGAATGACACTGTTGTTGCTATCAGCGCAGTTTGTCAGCACAATCCTAGCAGAGCAAGTTGCTGTGCTGTTCCAAACGGTCAGCCGTGTAGGTACGTGCATGGGTGCGAGTTGCGTGCCCGCGTGGCGGGTTCTTACATACCTCCATGCGTTCTGTGATGCGCTTGTACCTCTGACAGCTTTTGGGTCAGCTGCCCCATGTCTGTGTCGGTTGTCCTGATGTAGCGCAAGACACTGTCGCTTCTCCATCGGCCCATTGCCCTGATTAGCCAGTCCGGGGTACCCGCCATGGCTGCAGTTGTGGCGGCACCGATGCGGAACGAATGACCAGCGTAATCGCGTTAATTGGGTGTTCCCGTGAGTGGGAGAAGCTGTCGGAGCTCTTCTGTCAGTGCCTGCCTGGTCAGCGGTCTCCCAGGGCGGTAGCGGAAGAGTGCGTCAGTGGCGTCAGACGGACAGACTGTAAAATATGCCAGGAGGGCGGCAACCGGGCAAGGTTGTGAAGTGGTACTACCGATTATCTGCATGGCCCTGACGGAGTTGGTCCGTCTTCGATTGCTTGATGTGGAAGCGGATATATGTGCGTCCTTGAGTGACATCCAGAGTCACATCCTGGCGCGTGGCATGAGTGGTAGGGTCAAACCCGGCTGGAGGCGCAGTGAATTCAGCGCATCGAAGAAATCCGAAGAAGGCGAGCACCATTGCCGCCTTGAGCATGCCCTTGACCTGCTGGTGACGCCGTTGGTCCAGGCTGAGTTGGTTGAGGAGCTTCCGCAGCAAATCAATGGTGATTGGGAGGCGAGTGCGCTGGATTGCCGTCCTCTTGATGACTCGCATAACACGTGGCGGCAGCAATGCGTTCATCGTTGGATCTCGGAATCCGGCTTCGAGATGCATGTTGCGTACTGCGGCCATGTAGACATGAATTGTCTGTGGTTGAACCGATTGTGTGAGGTGTGCTGCGAAGCAGCTGCTGGGCATCGTGTCTGTAGCCGGCATGGGCGTCCATCTCTGCAACGCACAGAATTGCGTAAATTTCCTTTCGCCAGTGGTGTACGTGCGCCGTGTTGTCGGGGCGATTGCCATGGCTGCCAGGTCGGCCACCTCCTGCATCAGTCCAGGAGAGGGAGGCGGATTGCAGTGTCCGCGGCTTGCTGTGCCGATGGTGCCAGCTGCTGGAATGCCTGTCAGAGTGATACGGAAATAGGGCTTGGCGCGGCTAAACCTCTTGTTGATATCCCATAGGCGCCGCGTAAATGTTCTGCCTGGTACGACGACGCTCGACGCAAAGGAGAGTTTCCCCAGGAAGTGATCGAGTTTGCGTTGCGTGGTCTGGGTGCAGCGTGACAGCTCGCTGAGGAGCTCGCGGAGGTCCGCCGGTTTGTCGTCTGGGAGACGGGCTTCCATGTGCACGGTGTCCAGCACAATTCCGAGGAAGGCAGTAATGTGTGAAAGCGAAAAGTGTTCAGGGGAGTGGAAGTCGGCTTACTTTTTCTCAGTGGGCTTCGAAGTCTTCTCGTGGCTATCTGCAGGGCGCTGCCACCTGAAGCGGGTGGCGCTGGTGCAGGATGTGGCAGCATGTCCTTTGTCTTCACATGAGCTGCAGGCGTAGAGACGGTCGCAGGGTGTGCGGGAACAGGGCCTGCCGCGGTTGAAGTTAAAACAGGCTTGGCGGGTGCTGCCCGCCACTGATGGAAAGGGCTGCGCGTGTTGAGCTGCGGCATGTGGGCAGCGGTCGCGGCTGTTTTGGAGCGTGCATTTGGTGCATGACGGACGGGGAGAGCGGAGTAGGTGAATACTCCACAGCGTCTGATTGATCACGTCCCAGCGCAGTGCCATGCTGGCGGTGTGTTGGCGAAATGCTCGATCATAGTTCAGCACAGCAGACGTTGTGAACTGTTGGTTCGCAGTACAAAGTATGTGCTGGTAGCAGACGAGCTCATGAGCTCGGTCAGGACGAGCAAGAACGACGATGCCCATGTAGATCGTCCAGGCCTCCAGCCAAGCCGAGAAGTCGTTGTGTAACCTTGGCCTGAGGTTACAATTACATTCACAGGAGCATAAACTCCCCAGCCCCCAGCCAGGCACCAGTTCCAACCATGACAAGACGTTGAGATCAAAACTGCAACTCTCAAGTCCAAAACATCCTCTTCAAGCAAAAGGAAGAACCAGCATCATAACAGAGCGAGCCAACGAAAGGATACGCATGCGTGTGTGCCTGTGAGTGTGTACGAATGACGTATGCATACATGTCATGAAGTAGAGTCACAATTCATAGCTATAATTAAGAGTGGAAATATTACTACGCCAAACGGAACATGTGCAACATGTTACACCTCCCCCCTCGTTACAGAGGGAACGATAGTGACCGAAAGTTACAAAGCTTAGAGCATATCCGTGATAGCTTTCTACATGAGAAAATTAAATACTGGAAAGTGAAATAGTGTGGCGCAAGTATGGTACAAGTGTAGTTAATCGGTGTGAGGTATAATGGAAAGTTTAGAAACTACTAATGCTATGTAAGTGGACTGTGAAACAGCAAGTGAAATGCTCGACATTATTCATACTAACCTAACAACAGGTAGGACTGTGTGAAATATGTGTATTTCTGAACTAAGAATGTACAATTTCTCAATAATCACACTGTACAGTCATAGACACTCA